TGTAAGTAAATGTGCCTTTCCTTGTGGTAATGTAAATATGTATCCCCTTTTCTATGATACTATAAGGGAGCTACCATTTGATTTTTATGGGGGGGGGGGGGGTTAGGATGAAAAATTTTGTCCTGCCTATTTATTTTTCCCTCTATTCGGTCCCGCCTTTTTATTTTTCACTCTTCGGTTCTTTTTTTTTTTTTTTATTTATCCTGACTTTTTTTTTTACATAAATTGTCATCCTGCCTTTTTTTTGGCAAATAATCTCGTCCTGCCTTTTTTTTTAAATTTCATCCTAGCCCCTCCATAAAAATCAAATGGTAGCTCCCTGAGTATTCATTTCCTGTGAGTATATATATATCCTTCCCTGTGGTAATGTAAATATGTATCCCCTTTCCTATGATACTATAAGTATCTATTTCCTGTTAGTATGTTTATGACATTCCCTGTGGTTATGTAAAGATGTATCCCCTTTCCTATGATACTATGAGTATCTATTTCCTGTGTGTATGTATATCCTTCCCTGTGGTAATGTAAATATGTATCCCCTTTCCTATGATACTATAAGTATCTATCCCCTTCCCTGTGGTACTGTAAATATATTCAGTTTCCCTATGGTACTGTAAGTAAATTTTACCTTCCCTGTGGTAATGTAAAAATGTATCCCCTTTCCTATGATACTATAAGTATCTATTTTCTGTTTGTATGTATATCCCTCCCTGTGGTTATGTAAATATGTATCCCCTTTCCTATGATACTATAAGTATCTATTTCCTGTGAGTATGTATATCCTTCCTTGTGGTTATGTAAATATGTGTCCCCTTTCCTATGATACTATAAGTATCTATTTCCTGTGGGTATGTATATCCTTCCCTGCATGTGGTAATGTAAATATATATCCCCTTTCCTATGATACTATAAGTATCTATTTCCTGTGAGTATGTATATCCTTCCTTGTGGTTATGTAAATATGTGTCCCCTTTCCTATGATACTATAAGTATCTATTTCCTGTGGGTATGTATATCCTTCCCTGTGGTAATGTAAATATATTTCAGCTTTCCTATGGTACTGTAAGTAAATTTTACCTTCCCTGTGGTAATGTAAATATGTATGCCCTTTCCTATGATACTATAAGTATCTATCCCCTTCCCTGTGGTAATGTAAATATATTTCAGCTTCCCTATGGCACTGTAAGTAAATGTGCCTTTCCTTGTGGTAATGTAAATATGTATCCCCTTTTCTATGATACTATAAGTATCTATCCCCTTCCCTGTGGTAATGTAAATATATTTCAGCTTCCCTATGGCACTGTAAGTAAATGTGCCTTTCCTTGTGGTAATGTAAATATGTATCCCCTTTTCTATGATACTATAAGGGAGCTACCATTTGATTTTTATGGGGGGGGGGCTAGGATGAAAAATTTTGTTCTGCCTATTTATTTTTCCTTCTATTCAGTCCCGCCTTTTTATTTTTCACTCTATTCGGTCCTTTTTTTTTTTTTAATTTATCCTGACTTTTTTTTTACATAAATTGCATCCTGCCTTTTTTTTTGGCAAATAATATCGTCCTGCCTTTTTTTTTAAATTTCATCCTAGCCCCTCCATAAAAATCAAATGGTATCTCCCTAAGTATTCATTTCCTGTGAGTATATATATATCTTTCCCTGTGGTAATGTAAATATGTATCCCCTTTCCTATGATACTATAAGTATCTATTTTCTGTTAGTATGTATATCCCTCCCTGTGGTTATGTAAATATGTATCCCCTTTCCTATGATACTATAAGTATCTATTTCCTGTGTGTATGTATATCCTTCCCTGCATGTGGTAATGTAAATATATATCCCCTTTCCTATGATACTATAAGTATCTATTTCCTGTGAGTATGTATATCCTTCCTTGTGGTTATGTAAATATGTGTCCCCTTTCCTATGATACTATAAGTATCTATTTCCTGTGAGAATGTAGATTCTTCCCTGTGGTAATGTAAATATGTATTCCCTTTGCTATGATACTATAAGTATCTATCCCCTTCCCTGTGGTAATGTAAATATATTTCAGCTTCCATATGGCACTGTAAGTAAATGTGCCTTTCCTTGTGGTAATGTAAATATGTATCCCCTTTCCTATGATAATAAGTATCTATTTCCTGTGAGTATGTATATCCTTCCCTGTGGTTATGAAAATATGTGTCCCCTTTCCTATGATACTAGAAGTATCTATTTCCTGTGAGTATGTATATCCTTACCTTTGGTAATGTAAATATGTATCCCCTTTCCTATGATACTATAAGGGAGCTACCATTTGATTTTTAGGGGGGGGGGGCTAGGATGAAAAATTTTGTCCTGCCTATTAATTTTTTCCCTCTTTTTGGTCCTGCCTGTTTATTTTTCACTCTATTCGGTCCTGCTTTTTTTTTTAGATCAATTGTAATCCTGCCTTTTTTTTTCAAATAATCTCGTCCTGCCTTTTTTTAACTCAAAACTCTTGTCCTGCCTATTTTTTTTCCAATTTCATCCTAGCCCCTCCCCCCCCCCCATAAAATTCAAATGGTAGCTCCCTAAGTATCTATTTCCTATGAGTATATATATATCCTTCCCTGTGGTAATGTAAATATGTATCCCTTTTCCTATGATACTATAAGTATATATTTCCTGTGTGTATGTATATCCTTCCCTGTGGTAATGTAAATATATATCCCCTTTCCTATTATACTATAAGTATCTATTTCCTGTGAGTATATATATCCTTCCCTGTGGTAATGTAAATATGTATCCCCTTTCCTATGATACTATAAGTATCTATCCCCTTCCCTTTGATACTGTAAATATATTTCAGTTTCCCTATGGTACTGTAAGTAAATATTCCCTTCCCTGTGGTAATGTAAATATGTATGCCCTTTCCTATATATGATACTATAAGTATCTATCCCCTTCCCTGTGGTAATGTAAATATATTTCAGCTTCCCTATGGTACTGTAAGTAAATGTGCCCTTCCCTGTGATAATGTAAATATGTATGCCCTTTCCTATGATACTATAAGTATCTATCCCCTTCCCTGTGGTAATGTAAATATATTTCAGCTTCCATATGGCACTGTAAGTAAATGTGCCTTTCCTTGTGGTAATGTAAATATGTATCCCCTTTCCTATGATAATAAGTATCTATTTCCTGTGAGTATGTATATCCTTCCCTGTGGTTATGAAAATATGTGTCCCCTTTCCTATGATACTAGAAGTATCTCTTTCCTGTGAGTATGTATATCCTTACCTTTGGTAATGTAAATATGTATCCCCTTTCCTATGATACTATAAGGGAGCTACCATTTGATTTTTAGGGGGGGGGGGGGGGGGGCTAGGATGAAAAATTTTGTCCTGCCTATTAATTTTTCCCTCTTTTTGGTCCTGCCTGTTTATTTTTCACTCTATTCGGTCCTGCTCTTTTTTTTTAGATCAATTGTAATCCTGCCTTTTTTTTTCAAATAATCTCGTCCTGCCTTTTTTTAACTCAAAACTCTTGTCCTGCCTATTTTTTTCCAATTTCATCCTAGCCCCTCCCCCCCCCCCCCCCCCCCCCCATAAAATTCAAATGGTAGCTCCCTAAGTATCTATTTCCTATGAGTATATATATATCCTTCCCTGTGGTAATGTAAATATGTATCCCTTTTCCTATGATACTATAAGTATATATTTCCTGTGTGTATGTATATCCTTCCCTGTGGTAATGTAAATATATATCCCCTTTCCTATTATACTATAAGTATCTATTTCCTGTGAGTATATATATCCTTCCCTGTGGTAATGTAAATATGTATCCCCTTTCCTATGATACTATAAGTATCTATCCCCCTTCCCTTTGATACTGTAAATATATTTCAGTTTCCCTATGGTACTGTAAGTAAATATTCCCTTCCCTGTGGTAATGTAAATATGTATGCCCTTTCCTATATATGATACTATAAGTATCTATCCCCTTCCCTGTGGTAATGTAAATATATTTCAGCTTCCCTATGGTACTGTAAGTAAATGTGCCCTTCCCTGTGGTAATGTAAATATGTATACCCTTTCCTATGATACTATAAGTATCGATTTCCTGTGAGTATGTATATTCTTCCCTGTGGTAATGTAAATATGTATCCCCTTTTCTATGATACTATAAGTATCTATCCCCTTCCCTGTGATATTGTTAGTATATTTCAGTATCCCTATTGTACTGTAAGTAAATATTCCCTGTGTGAGTACGTATATCCTTCCCTGTGGTAATGTTAATATGTATCCCCTTTTCTATGATACTATAAGTATGTATCCCCTTCACTGTGGTACTGTAAATACATTTCAGTTTCCCTATGGTACTGTAAGTAAACATTCCCTTCCCTGTGGTAATGTTAGGGTGTATCCCCTTTCCTATGATACTATAAGTATCTATCCCCTTCCCTGTGGTAATGTAAATATATTTCAGCTTCCCTATGGTACTATATAAATGTGCCCTTCCCTGTGGTAATGTAAATATGTATCCCCTTTCCTATGATACTATTAGTATCTATTTCCTGTGAGTATGTATATCCTTCCCTGTGGTAATGTAAATATGTATCCCCTTTCCTATGATACTATAAGTATCTATCCCCTTCCCTGTGGTACTGTTAATATATTTCAGTATCCCTATGGTTCTGTAAGTAAATATTCCCTGTAAGTATGTATATCCTTCCCTGTGGTAATGTAAATATGTATCCCCTTTCCTATGATACTATAAGTATATATTTCCTGTGAGTATGTTTATCCTTCCCTGTGATAAGGTAAATATGTATCCCCTTTATTATGATTCTATAAGTATTTATTTCCTGTGAGTATGAATATCCTTCCCTGTGGTAATGTAAATATGTATCCCCTTTCCGATGATACTATAAGTATCTATTTCCTGTGAGTATGTATATCCTTCCCTGTGGTAATGTAAATATGTATCCCCTTTCCTATGATACTATAAGGGAGCTACCATTTGATTTTTTGATGGGGGGGGGGGGGGGCTAGGATGAAAAATTTTGTCCTGCCTATTTATTTTTCCCTCTATTCGGTCTTGCCTTTTTTATTTTTCACTCTATTCGGTCCTGATTTTTTTTTTTCATTTATCCTGACTTTTTTTTACATAAATTGTCATCCTGCCTTTTTTTTTGCAAATAATCTCGTCCTGCCTTTTTTTTTACTCAAAACTCCTGTCCTGCCTATTTTTTTCAAATTTCATCCTAGCCCCTCCATAAAAATCAAATGGTAGCTCCCTAATTTATATTTTTTGTTTTTCTTACAGAGACAGGAGCCCCAGGACGAAAACGGATTCAGCAGCACATTTTAAGTTAAGTATATTTTTATTTTAAGTGACCCATAGACTGTCATCAATATTATACTAATTTATACTTTTTGTTTTTCTTACAGAGACAGGAGCCCCCAGGACGAAAACGGATTCAGCAGCACATTTTAAGTTAAGTATATTTTTATTTAAAGTGACCCATAGACTGTCATCAATATTATACTAATTTATACTTTTTGTTTTTCTTACAGAGACAGGAGCCCCCAGGACGAAAACGGATTCAGCAGCACATTTCAAGTTCAGTATATTTTTATTTTAAGTGACCCATAGACTGTCATCAATATTCTACTAATTTATACTTTTTGTTTTTCTTACAGAGACGGGAGCCCAAAGGACGAAAGCCGATTCAGCAGCACATTTTAAGTTAAGTATATTTTTATTTAAAGTGACACATAGACTGTCATCAATATTATACTAATTTATACTTTTTGTTTTTCTTACAGAGACAGGAGCCCCCAGGACAAAAGCCGGTTCAGCAGCACATTTAAAGTTAAGTATATTTTTTTTTGAAGTGACCCATAGACTGTCATCAATATGTAACTAAAACAAATGTCAAATGTTTATAATCTTTGGAGAACTAGTTATTGGAGTTGTTGATCTTCAATGACGATTTTTACCAGTGATCAGCAAGACAAGATCTACAAAAAAAAAACACCATGGCTTAAATTTTAGTTGACCTGTTCATGGAGTTATTGCCGTTTAAAGATGATTTTTACCATTTTTTTTTAGTTTTTGCTTATTATTTTGAAAAGAGTATAATGGATACAAATGTAGATAGAAACTTTAAAAAGCAAAAATGATCAGCAGGACGGATCTACAAATATGTCAACATGACTGAAATTGTCAGTTAATTTTTTATAGAGTTATTGCCCTTTTGTAATGATTTTAACCAAGAAGTTGAATATGCAGGTTAGTGACACAGGCTCTTAAATTAGAGCCTCTGTTTGGAACAGTTTTGATTGGCTAAGCATTTTACTTTCAGGCTATCATTAATTACTGCTTGTCAGTATGGATTGGTGTTTAGAATGGTCATTGGAGCTGACTTTTAAGGTAAGAACCATTGCATAGATTTATAAACTTGCTGATTAAAGATTATATAAACGCCCTTGAATTTTGTCAAGCCAATGACATTTTGTTGCAGAAGCCAGGCATAGCAATCCTACATTTAGTTATTATAGGCGTCACATTTAGGTTCATTATTGTGGTTAAAAAGTTTTTAAACAGCAATACCATTGTCAAACTTTCAAGTAATTGTACAAAAGAAGATTCCAAAGCAAGATTTTGAAATTCAAATATAAAAAAATATTCATCAATTGAAGGAACAACACATTAATTCACAATGTGTGTAGGGTATGAGTTAACTATTATTGTTGTTTGGTCAGAAGTTGAATATTTTAATTCTTTTGATTAGTTTTGTTACATTGACCAAGGGCTTTTAAATTGAATTAAGAATAAAATACAAGAAAACACATAAATACTAAGATGATCCTTCCTCTTTTTTTTTTTACTTTTTGTCATATATTCAGAATCCTCAGGTTTAATCCATGTAGTGCCATTACAAATTTTGCCCGCTAAATCCTGTATATACTAGCTTATCTTTTCATAATTTTATTACATATGGTTTAAAAAGCCATATTTGAAAATGTATATCAAGCTCTCATTGAAAATATTATTATACCCCACGCAACGAGTTGCGGAGGGTATAATGTTTTTGACCTGTCCGTCCGTCTGTCTGTCAGTCCGTCAGTCCTGTTTCTTGTCATCGCAACTCCTCTCAAACCACACAACAGAATTTCACGAAACCTTTTTAGATAATAAGGACATACTATGTAGTTGTGCATATCCACAGGAAATTACGATTCAATTTTTTTTCTAGGAGTTGCGCCCCTTTGAACTTATTTACTTTAATGTACTACTGCAACAGTTTGTCATCTCAACTCCTCTGAAACCACACAACAAAATTTCATGAAACTTTGTAGATAATGACATACTACGTAGATGTGCATATCAACAGGAAATTACGATTCAATTTTTTTTCCAGGAGTTACGCCCCTTTGAACTTATTTGCCCAATATGCTACTGCAACCTTTTGTCATCGCAACTCCTCTCAAACCACACAACAGAATTTCATGAAACCTTTTCAGATAATAAGGACATACTATGTAGATGTGCATATCGACAGGAAATTACAATTCAATTTTTTTTCTAGGAGTTACGCTCCTTTGAACTTATTTGCTTCAATATACCTCTGCAACAGTTTGTCATCGCAACTCCTCTGAAACCACACAACAGAATTTCATGAAACTTTGTAGATAATAAGGACATACTATGTAGATGTGCATATCGACAGGAAATTATGATTCAATTTTTTTTTCTTAGTTATTTTATTTCTCCAGTGACAATGTTGGGACGTGGGGTATGTGAGCGCGCTCACTAAGTTTCTTTAATTTTATTTATGACTGGTTACTGCCCCCATAATATCACATGATTGTCACCTAATTTGCAATTGGGACATGTACATAAATGGGACAAGAATATTTTACTTTGTTAATTCCTTTTCAATTTATCAGTATCAGTAGAAAAAAATACATTATACAGTTAAATAATGTACAAAAGAAAAAATACAGACAAGCATTAAATTTTCATTCAATTGACCCATAATTCCATTTGTTTATATATTTATATTTTTATATGGCTCAAAGGTTCACTAAATTAATTCTGTCTGTGTAGTGTTAACCTTTCTACTCCAAAATCTTGTGTTGAAAATACCCACCTTGAAAATTTGAGCCAAATATATTTATATATATATACCTGCTACTAAATAAAAAAAACATTGTGTATAAAAAAATAATATAACATCTACACACACTTAAAACACATGTCTTATGTCTATCTCTAGATTCGCCTTACATGACAAGGTAACACTACAACTTTTGAAGTTATATTTTAATATAGCGGATGTGGTCAAGTGGTCAAGAGTGCTGGACATGAGGCTAAGCTATTGGTGCTGTAGGTTATCAAAAGTGTGAGTTCAAATCCCGTTGAGGGACAAAAATTTGTCAGCATAAAAATCTAATTCTAACACTGTTGGGTTTAATTTTCAGACTTATACATGTATATAGTGCCTAGAAAATAAACCTAACGATGTTATAGTAGATCTGTTTCTTTACTTCCTCCCTGAGTGGGGCTGGAACCTGTACTTTTTATTTCTAACTTCTACGACAACACCGCCTAGCATTGCGCAGACACCTTATCCCCTCTAACTATAGCTGATGTTATACATAATGTTATATATATATATATGTTTACCCTTTTACATGGTGTTGGGTTGCTGTCTATATAACATATACCCCACATTTTCTATTATTCATACCTACATTGCAATTACCCAGGAATTTATCTATCATTGAGCTAATATAAGAATGAGGAAAATTTAATGATTGCCAATGAGACACCTATTCAAAAGAGTCCAAATGATGTGCATGATGTGAATGTAAGCAATATAGGTCACTGTATGGCCTTCAAACATGAGCAAAACCCATGCCATATAACAGTAGTCAACTATAATGACTGTGAAACAATTCAAAGGAGAAAACCAATGTCCTGCACACATACAAAATGTGGCAGAGTTATGAAAATATATAATATACTATTTGGCCTAAAGTTTTTGACTTGCCAAGTATGCTGTCTAGTTCAAATTTCAAGCTCAAAAAGTAATGACTATTTCACTCAGTGCTATAAGCATACCTATTTCTAGATTCGTAACAAAAACATGATATTAAAATAGTAATCAGTACAAAATATTGTAGACTCTTGCAAGCTAACATACAGTTTTAATGGATTTTTCTGAACAACACTGTAAATTAATTTAGTGAAATTTACACATAAATATCCATATGTCCTTCCAAATTTCCAGTGCTAAGATGTTCAATAGATATAGGAAGATGTGGTATGAGTGCCAATGAGACAACTCTCCATCCAAGTTACAATTTATAAAAGTAAACCATTTTAGGTCAAGGTATGGCCTTCAACACGGAGCATTGGCTCACACCGAACAGCAAGCTATAAAGGGCCCCAAAAAATTACTAGTGTAAAACCATTCAAACGGAAAAACCAACGGTCTAATCTATATAAAAACGAGAAACACGTATGAACTACATAAACAGACGACAACTACTGTAATCAGATTCCTCAGCCTTGTTCATGATCTGTTTGTATAGTTTTCTTTTTCTATTTTTTTACTTGAACTGAAGCAACATTTTTTGTATTAATTGTGAAATAAAAGTGCAATGAAATAAGTAACAAATTAAAAAAAAAACAAAGACTACAGCTGGGAATAAAAAAAAAAAACCATCATATTTTATGGTTAACATTTCCGTCTTAGACCTATAAAACTCATACGAATATATAGATTCTATATTTTCCTATAGTACACCTATATTGCAGTTTAACATTACTAATTTGTTAACTATTTACCTTACAGCTATTTGCAGAAGTTGCAGGAAAAGACTGTTATCATCACAGCATACAGATATTACAGATGAAATACGGATGGAAGATGTAAATTTAAATATTTATTTTCAAAGTTAATTGATGAAATAAAACAACACACACTAAACTCAATATTGAGCTACCTGAACTCCACTTAGAACTCAGATACTGCACAAGAATAAGGTTACAGGTCCTGTCTAATTGACATCATCCTTCATGTAACTCTGACATTAATTATTTTTGAAACCATACTTTTTCTAATTTTTTGGTTTGTTAAAATTTACTTCACTTTTTCCTTTTTAACTATTTTCCAAAATTGTTCATCATTTGTAATTTTTGTGAGTGCCTGAAAGTTCATGTGTAACATGTAGTAAGTCACTGAAAAAAAAACCTATTCCAATTGATTATGTTCTTATAACTACTAAAACTTAGGTAACCTTATTTAAAATATGACATTTAGTATCCTAAATTTAACTGTGTATTCAACTGGACACTTTTTATGCCCCACCTAGGGGCATTATGTTTTTCAGACTGTGCGTCCGTCTGTCCGTTCGTCCATCTGTCCTGCTTCATGTTAAAGTTTTTGGTCAAGGTAGTTTTTGATGAAGTTGAAGTCCAATCAATTGAAACTTAGTTCACATGTTCCCTATGATATGATCTTTCTAATTTTAATGCCAAATTAAGAGTTTTGACCCCAATTTCACGGTCCACTGAACATAGAAAATGATAGTGCGAGTGGGGCATCCCTGTACTATGGACACATTCTTGTTTCTACTATATTCAATGCATTTTTAACTTGGTTCTTTGTGCTTCAAGCACTGGCAGTATTAGGAAACATATGATTTAGTAATCTCAAATGCTGAATATATTCTAGTAGGTTGACAGAAAGTGAAATTTTATTGTTAACTTAAATCATTTAAATTGAAATTTTTTTTTTCAGTGTACTGAAACAGCTGATGAAATTGACCTTAGATAATGAAAGAAAAAGTGGAGGATTGTTATCAAAAATAACAGCAGAAAAAGTAAGTAGAAACAAAAATGTACACTTCAATGCGTTTACGGGACGTATTATGGTATACCGTTGTCCGTCTGTCCGTCGTCAACATGTCGGACATTAACTCAAAAATGCTTTAACCAATTTGCATAAAAATTTGGTGAATTGTTTATATCTAATGACGTGAGCTCCCTTTAGTTTTTTTATAAAATTAAGATTTTACGTTTCCAAGTTATGGGGTTTTATTCATTAAAAAAAGGGGGATTTTCCAGTTTTCGGACAATAAGTCAAATATGCTTTCACCAACTTGCAAGAAATTGTGGTGAATTGTTTATATCTATTGACGTGAGCTCCCTTTCCATTTTTATAAATTTTAGATTTTACGTTTCCGAGTTACAGGGTTTTATTCATAAAAAAAGGGGGGATTTTCCAGTTTTCGGACAAAAACTCAAAAATGTTTTCAGCAATTCTTATGAAACTTTGGTGAATTGTTTGTATGTATTAATGTAAGCTCCCTTTAGAATTTTATAAATTTTACATTTTACATTTCTGAGTTATGGGGTTTTATTCGTTAAAAAAAGGGGCGATTTTCCAGTTTTCGGACAATAACTCAAAAATGCTGTCACCAATTCTCATGAAACTTTGGTGAATTGTTTATATCTATTGATGTAAGCTCCCTTTTTATTTTCATAAATTTCTAATATGACATTGGGAATTAATTGAACTTTATTTGTTTATAGTCTGACAACAGATTTACTAAGTATTGATTGTACAATAGCAAGAAATCTTTAATTGAATATAAATTCAATTCATATAACCAATTTCAAGTTCTTTGACTACATTTATTCAGAAACCTATAATATGTCAAATATTTAATTATAATCCAAAGTCAGACCTGAATCAAGCTTGAATATTGTGTCCATTTTTGCCCCAACTGTTTAGGGTTGGACCTCTGCGGGCGTATTTAGCTGCGCTCAGCGAAGCAGTTTATTGATTATGTGATTACCGGGTACTTGGCCGTTTTTATAGTGATAATTTGAATACCAGACCAAATATTTCATGATTTGATTATCTTGTTTAAAAAAATAATGATTATGTGATTATATTGGCAAAAAAAATTTGTAATTATGTGATTACTTGGACAATCCTGTGAGGGGCCTCTTCAATCAGGACATTTATTGCAGTTTTATAATTCAAAATGATTATCATAACACTACTAGTCCTATAAAGTCTATAGGAGACAATCATAATGAATAAAGAAGATGTTAGGACTATTCATTAACGAGACTGTAAGCAAGACTGAGGTCAACATATGGCTAACAAAAAAAAAAAGAAAATGAACTACAATGCATTCTTTTGAATAAGGTTATTAACCAAAAAGGGAATACATGAACATATAAGAAATTGCTTTAACATACTTTATGTGTGAATTTTGAAGAAAACTGTATTGTATTTTAAGCTTTGCAGACATATACTTTTTTATTGTCAGGAAGTGACATATATTAGAGTTAGGTAAAAATCACTTGACAGTTGGATAAATGTTTATTGTCTACATATACAAAAACTTGGTTCAATTAAGGCACTACTTTTTTGTATATTTATGAAATACTAATACATTAACACTTTTAATTTATTTCAAACCCTTTGAAATGATAAAAACTGAATTCTATTGATTTATTTATTTAGCTCACTGAATGATCATTTCAGTAGCATATAGGCATGGCTTTGTTCATCCAAAACAAATGCTTTCCTAATTCTTGGGAGTCTTTGGTTTGGATTAAACAGAACGTTCAATTGAAGATAAGGGGAAGGAAAAAAACTATCAATTTTGGGGTCAATAGGTTTAATTTCAAGCTTGCTGTTCCTAAAGATAGAATCAAATAAGTTTCCTTGTTTAAGGTAGCTGAGGTGCCTAAAAATTTTTACTCTAAAACTTCTGTAAAAGACTTCTGAGTCAATTGACTTTCAAATTTCAATTTAAAAATTTGGGGCAAATAACTTTCTTTTTCATTAAAATGCATTGAAATTAGCGAAATCAGTTATTTTATATGGGAAACTTAATTTTTCCTTATTAAGGAAACATAATTCATAAATACTTCTGAAATTACAAATAAAAGTAGTGGTCACTAGTTTTATTTTTTTGAAAATTCCAAAACACTCGAATTGTCCTAGCAAATCAATATGATTATCTGCCCTTGATTTTAAAAGGATATCTTTTTTGGAAAATTTTAAATACACTGACAACTACACTTAATATTTTGATTGGTTAATCTTTAAATTTCAAGTTTTAGATGTTTCTGTTGTTTATTGAATTATACTAGGTAAAATATTATTATTTTTGCAACATGCCAAGAAGGGATGCTCAGAAAAAGACACATGTTAGATACCTTAATTGGAACAATACTTATATTGATGAGAGATAAAGAAGCCTTAAAATTTTGATTTTGTATAAATATGTAACTTGCATTCATTTGTAAGCACAAAATATAAATTATGTATACAATATAAATGATTTTCAGAAAGGACTGACACCTTTCAAGAGTCTAAAGATGAACATGAAATATCAGCCTGTAGTAGTTGGAGAGAAAGAGAAGACATAATTTACATATCAAGCAGTAAGTCTACATTGTTTAAGGGGATTCAGTTATTCATAGTGTTAAATTATGAAAAAAAATAATTTGATTGATAGCGTCGAAAAACTATTTTCTGACTCAGACAAAAAACCATACCCCCCCCACTCCTCAAAGTTAAATGGTTGCTCCCTTAAATAAATATGTGTGGCTGATAGCAATTACAGTAACAACAACAAACAACCAATTACAGGTTCCTAGCTTCACATATATATAGAATGTGTTTGGGTTTAATATGTTTGCAAGTTCTCAATCCTTAGGCAAAACAAAATAATAATTAGCTTAGATCTTCCTCCTAAAGGAAAGTAGGGTAGATAGGTAGGAATTCATTTTCATTTTGCTCAACATTTTTACCTCAAGTTATGGGAATACCTGCAATTCTGTCATGATTCACAGCCTTAGGTGACAAAAGTTTAGTGTAGTTATTTTGAAGCATAAAAAGGAAACACCCACATTTTTTAAATAATTTAGTCTTACCTTGGATGATGTATATATGGGCATATACATAGGTATCTTTTACTATATATATATATATATATATATATATAAATATCTGTTTGTAAATGAACAAGAATATTTCATTGTTTGTTTTTTTGCAGGAAAGCTGATAAAATGGAATCAGACCTATGACTGAACAAAGAAAATGTCACTGTGTCTGAAAGTTACTGATTTCTCTTTATGATTCTTTTTACTATTTTATATAACTTAAGCATTTATATTTCAGGTTAGCATTACAGCTTGTTCATATGGATTAATGTTAGGAAAGACTATTGGAGTTGACTTTTAAGGTAATGAAGAAAGAACTATAGCATATGACAACTCTCTACCAGAGACCAAATGACATAGAAGTTAGAAACTATAGGTCACCATATGGCTTTCAACAATAAGCAAACCCATACCGCATAGCACATCTATTAAATAGATTTATAAACATTTTAATTTAAGATCTTGTAAATGCCCTGGGTTTTTATTATCTTTTTTACAATTTAAAGTTGTGGAAGGATTCATCAAGTTTTAGTATGCAAAAATGATTATTTTGGAAATTTTCTTGGCTATAAAAGCCTGCAAACATGGAATTATTGGAATCTGGAATAGTTTTGAATTCTGCAAAATTGATAAGAAATATATGATGAAAACTAACCTTATTAAGGAGAGTTGGCCATGCATGCATGGCTGAGTGGGCTTTAAGTTAGTCCATACTGAAATATTGGTGAAAGTAAAATGAACCTAACCATGCATGCATATGACATGGCTAACCATCTTTATTTGGTTAGTTTTCATTATACATTTCTTATCAATTTTCCAAAATTCAAATTTATTCCAGATTCAAATAAATCCTCCTTTGCTGCTAGCTGAGTTTAAAATGTATGACAATGAATCACTTGAATAAGAAAATCAAAAGAATAAAATTAGTTAATCTTTAATTGTGATTCCCAGTTAATTATTGTTTTCCTATTTCAATTTCATAAAATATGACAGAAAAATTGAAAAGTTTCAATTTCTTTTTCAGATAACAATTCCTGTGGCTGCATGAAATAATTGTGTGATTAATTCTGTAACAGTGAAAGAATTGTTAGAATAAAGATTCAGTATACGTAGCATACCAGTAGTCAGTGGGTTTTCAAAGAGTTACTGTTCCTTGCATAGTTTCTTGGATATTATATTGGTTCGTTGCATAGATTCTTGTATTTTATATTGTAAATACGTAAATATTTTCCAGATATTGTTTTGAAATTTACAGACTTTAAATAGAAATTTGATTTAGAAAGTTCTAAAAGTTTTATTGAAATTTGTTTAATGGATATTTTTATTAAATGATTTGGTATTTTTTTAGATTGTATTTTATGTTTTTGTTAAAAGACAGTGAAGTGAAAAAAAATCAAAGAAAAGTTATGATTCTTTAAAGATATGTTTTATAATCACAGTTTTATATGAAAATTAAAAATATTTTTGGTCAAAATTGGAAAAATGATGATACAGTCACAAGATTACATGTGATTACATTCTTGAAGTAATCTTCAATTACCAACCGTCACAGATTGATAGATTGCTTGATTGGTGGTTGCTTTACACCGCCACAGTACAAAAAGGCTATATTGCAGCGATACTGTCTGACATGTCACTGACTAAATGTCAAGCCTATCACTACAGGTACTCTGCTCAGTTGTAAAGGATGAGAAGTCTAACATGGAGGTAATACCTCTATTTAACTCCTCATACTTGAAGTTTCTTCAGTGCTGGCCATTATTAGACATTTTCTTCTTCATTTTTGAGTATTTTATTGATTAAAGGACTAGCACTATTTTTTGTTTTCTTCCTGTTTAGAGATTAACAATATCATGCCGTCCAGGGTTCAAGTTTCTCAAACATAAATAACTTTGTCATTTAATACCTTCATGGAATTATGTAAAACTTGGACTGAAGCTTATCCTTTATTAAAAGACATTATGAAAAGCAACATTTTTAATTCCTTTTTTTTTTTTTGTATCTTGCTGATAAATTTACTTAGTTTTTTTTATTTACTGTACAGTCTTGGGTTTAAGAATTTTAGACACCAATAACGTCAATCCTTCTTAGAATTTATGAAACCTTGACAGATTAGCTTTAAAGATTAAAAGAAATTATCTGAAGACAATTTTGAAAATATATTTTTTTCTTGACTCAGTATTTTACAGATAGATGAACTTATTTTTTTTGCATGTTAGATTTACATTTAGCCTAGGTTTTAACTTTTTAGACACGGAATAACTGTTTTAAACCTTGAAGTTCATGGAATGTAAGGAACCATGAACAGAAACTTCTTCATGATATACATACTGTATAAGCATCTTTAGAAAAAACATACTATTTTTTTTATTTATTTTTCCATATTTTACTGATAAATTGACTTTTTTATTGCTTTATTAAATATCTAGTTATGAATATGTTTTCATTATTTCTACTTGCTTGATATTATTGTATTTTGATTAATGATAAATAGAACTGTAAAATTATTGTATAATTTGAGATGGAACTGTTTTAAAATTTTACAATTTTTATGCATTACTAATTATATTGTGAGCAACTTTAGCTGAATTTTTTTCAGTCCAGTAAAACATTGATGGATTTACACCTTACGTTCAGGGTATGTTTCAAAAAGCAGTTTCTGTTAAACAATAATTTGTGTACTAAGTATTTGATGCAATGTAAAATTATGTACATTAAAACTGTTCACCATTTCAGAATCTAATGTATTTTGGGTATCATTTTCAAAACTGTACACTAACTTTTGTGATACTATTCTGGAGTGTGACCATGAAATTACCCATAGTCCTTTAGACTCTTGTCAGATTTATTTATTGGTTTTCTTTACTGTGTTTAAATGCACCTATCCAAGTATGGGGTCAATTAAAAATTAATAATTTTACCATTCATGCAGTTTTACCTCCATTTTATTTTGGAAATAGAAATTCTGAAAAAGAGCTGAAAAAAATAGATAAAATTGTGAAAGTTTTCGATTTTAGCCAAACAAGGATGACAATTAAGTAGAAATTGAAAAACAAGAAATGAAATCTTTATTAAAGAAGGTAAAAATGGCCACATTTGTATATATAGAATATTTACATCTGTTTCAGTCTATGCATGGCCTATAAAAGTTTAGTGTAGGTGCATAATATATTCTTTTTGCATCTTTAAATACATGTGTAAATTTGCAGCTTAGAGATATTTGTAAACTTAAAGACAATTTTTCACGAAATAGCCGAACATGGTAGGTGCAAATACTTTTGATGTATTTAGCATATATTCCACAGAAAAATAAGATTGATCTTTTAAAAGCATTAATTTGCATCCCTGACTCGGGCAACAGTATTAAAGTACCAAAAAATGAAATATATCCTTTGTAATGAGTCAAAACAACAGAGTCATATAGATGTGTTTGAATAACAAAAATAAGCTTTGTCCTAAAACAAATATTTAAGAAATTGAGGTGTATTTCTTTATTGTATTTTTTCATTCATTCATTCATTTTTCCAAACAAATTAATTATTTTATCCATGAAATGTACACATAAAAGAAGTAAAACACACCATTAACTAACACCTCTATAATTTTTATTTAAGCTCTTGACAACAAGTTTTCAAATGTTATAAGTTCTAACTGCATATTAGGAATTGTTAATTTTTAAATAACATATCAAGTTTTTTTTTTTAATTTATTCTTCAGGTCTTGTATGAGTACCTTATTTGAATTTTTTGAAAGTTGATTTTTTAACTTCTTCTTTACATTTTTGAAACCCAATCAAAGAGATACTAGATAATTCCCGTGGCACACAGTAAAACGGGAATTTATTGTCTTCTTGGTAAAGAGGCGTATGAATTTTTGGCGCCAAAAATATTAGTGGTCTGAATAGGTAGTTCTATGAGTATTTACTTCTAGCCTTGCTTTCGTACAAATTTTTCATCAGCATAAAGAATGTTCAATTTGGCAATTTTTTATGGTCTTTGTTTTTTATATATATACTTTGTATAAATGGTATGGCTATATAACCGTAATCAGATTTGGATTATATAATTTGTGTCTTCAAAATTTTGTTTAATAGCCGTAGTCTTAGGACTAAAACTCTGTTCAAATTGTTAGTAAGATTGAGCATTTCTTGTACATTCACATTTTTTAAGTGAGGTCCTACACTTAAGTTTCGCCTGGCATTGACACAAGGATGCAGGTTTCCAAATTTGGTTTTTCCTGATCGGCCACGAAACAGTATTTTGTATGTTTTGGATATTAACATTTTGAGAAATGATAGCAAATAGTACTTTAAATATGTTATGTTGTTATTACTGTATATTGTAATAAAAGCGGCAGCTCAGAAAAGATATAAAGCAGCAAGCTAGTCAACAAACTTAAGTTTGTATTTGAGTTATTTGTTTATATAAGGAGCTATAGAATCATTGTCTTAGGTGTAAAGGTACATAAGTATAGAGAAGACTGGCTTTCTCCACTTATAAAAAGTGGTGTTAAATACAAAGAAACAAACATTTACTTTTATTGTTGATAGGAGTGATTTTGTGTGAAAATAATTAATTGTGGTTAAAACTTAGTTATTGTATTTAAAAATTAATCACAAATTTTGAGAAACTTTTTTTTGTGCTAGGATTGCAAGGAAAATTAATGTATAGGTATAATATGCTATTCCAAATTGATTCCTAGTGTCAAAAGATTGGTTTTGATTAATGCCCTATTTGCCAAATATAAATCAATTATTTAAAGAAAGATTTCAACTACAATTAGGTCATGGAAACATAGAGCACAGGGTTCGACAAACTAAATATTCAAATCAGACAGTTCACTAATAAGAAACATAATGTAGAAAGATCTCTTTTATCAATGCATGCACTCTGTTTCCAGTACAATAATTGAAATTATAGATAATGAAGGGATATGGAGTAAATGTACATGGGACAAAATCACACACAATACATAGAAAAAATAGAAAATTATCAATGAACAGGGCTTTTATTCCTGTTCTTCAACTTGACAGTTGATGTAGGGTCTTCAACAATGAACAAATCATTCATACCCTATAACAAGGTCAAGACGGCCCCTAGTGTCATCTTAAGCAGTACTATTGATAAAAATAAACCACAGTTCACCTTCTTGCTCCCCACCCGCCTCGGAGTGCCAACTTGTGCGATGCTTGTGTACGACGGTTCTCCAGTCGAAAGCACCAGGGGTACAAGAAAAGTGCAGTAATTTTGAAAGACATTGATCGCCGCTAAAATATGTCTTGAAGTTACACATATGTCGGGAGCAGTCAATGAAGTACATAATTTATGATTACTGGCGAGGTTTTTCAACATATATTTGTCATACATTGCCCAACAAAAGATCAATAATTTCGAAACAACAAATGATAGACAATACATATAAAACTAAACAACAAATGATAGACTGAGCACGGGGCACATCGAAATATATGTAAGAAAACCTAGCAGTTTAAAATAGTATGAAAGGGCAATATACAAAACAGATGACCAGACCAGTATTTTGAAGAAATTTAACCAAACATGAAATTTTGACAGTGTATTAATATGAGAAATTATCACATGAACAAGCACACCATATTTTTTTTATTAACTAAATATTATAAGAGCAATTACACCTCAAGCACGGGGAAACGTTCTAATGCCTCCACATAGCACTAGAGACAAACTCTAGAATCAATAGAAAATAAAAGGATATGGAGTAAATGTACATGGGACAAAATTGCACACAATACATAGAAAACATAGAAAATTTTTAGCATGTTTTCATGGAATTGAGTTGCAAAATAAGATGTATTCTAAAACCACAACATAAAAAGAATGATGATATGTAAAGTTGTAAACAAAAACACTTATTTCCTATATTGTCATTGTTAAAACTATGATACATTGTGATTAAATGGCCGTAAAATCCCAATTTGAAAATCAGGCTTAAAAAGAGGGGTCATATTGGGGCCATATTGAACATAATCTTTGGAGTAAAACATAGCTTTTGTCTGGCCTTGACGGAGTCAAAAAGAGAGACAAAGATATGCTGTTTCTGATGTCGGTGGCAGCGGCATCAACAATATATTAGTTTGTGATTAGGTCAGTTTAAGGGGAATCACTTATGTTGAGTCAATGATATTTGGTATGCAAATGTATTGGAATTTGCAAGTTTCATTTCCATGGAGATTATATAGCCCCACAATTTGTGATATCTTTATAACCATTTGATTTAAATTTGATTGTAAATTTCCCAAGAGTTTGAGGTAAAACCCTGAGATTCCCACCTCCTGAAAATTTAAAGTGCCAGAATGTTCGTTGAACTGTGGACAGGGGGCTCTTGAAATATTTACTTTCATTATGTATATTTATGATCTTGTTGATATTGTCAGAGACATATAATACAATATATGTCTCTGATATTGTTTATTTTTATTTTGTTAATTTATGTTGTGCCAGTCACATGCTATAAATGTATGGTGTAATGGCAATAAAGATTTGACTTGAATTTTGAATTGTTGATATGTATAATTGCTGTATTTTTATCAAGCTTGCGACTTTTGTCGCAGAAAGCTTGACATATAGGGATAGTGATCCGGCGGCGTCATCAACTAACTTTTTAAAAGCTTGATATTTCAGAAGGTAGAAAACCTGGATGCTTCATACTTTGTAGATAGATGCCTTATGATATGAAGTTTCTGTCTGTTATATGTCCATTGTACTTGACCTCATTTTCATGGTTTAGTGACTATTTGAAAAAAAAGTTAAGATTTTTTGTAATGTTAATTTCTCTCTTATTATGAGTAATAGGATAATATATTTGGTATGTGCGTATCTTGCAAAGTCCTCAAGTCTGTCAGACAGTTTTCACTTGACCTCGACCTCATTTCATGGATCAGTGAACAAGGTTAAGTTTTCGTGGTCAAGTCCATATCTCAGATACTATAAGCAATAGGCCTACTATATTTGGTGTATGTAATGATTGAAAGTTGTACATGTCCAACTGGCAAGTGTCATCTGACCTTGACCTCATTTTCATGGTTCAGTGGTAACAGTTTAGTTTTTGTGTTTTGGTCTGTTTTTCTAATACTGTATGCAATAGGTCAACTATATTTGTTGCATGGAAATATTTTACGATGTACATGTCAGTCTGGCAGATTTTATTTGATCTTGACCTCATTTTCATGGTTCATTGCTCAATGTTAAGTTTTTGTGTTTTGGTCTGTTTTTCTAATACTGCATGCAGTAGGTTAACTATATTTGGTGTATGGAAATATTTTACAATGTACATGTCTGAGTGAGTCTGGCAGGTTTTATTTTACCTTGACCTCATTTTCACGTTTCATTGCTCAATGTTTAGTTTTTGTGTTTTGGTCTGTTTTTCTAATACTGCATGTATGCACATGATGCAGTAGGTCAATTTTATTTGGTGTATGGATATTTTACGTTGTACATGTCAGTCTGGCAGGTTTTATGTGACCTTGACATCATTTTCATGATTCATTGCTTATGTTCAGTTTTCCTGGTTAACTTTGTTTCTTAGATACTATAAGCAATAGGTCAACTATATTTGATGCATGGAATGATTTTAAGGTGTACATGTCTGTCTGGCAGGGTTCATCTAACCTTGAGTCCTTGACTTCATTTTCATGGTTCATTGGTCAATATAGAATTTTCATGGTTTATTCTGTTTCTTTTATACTATAAGCAATAGGTCAACTATACTATGTGTATGGAATGATTGTATTAAAGGTGTACATGTATCTCCGCCTTGGTTTATCTGACCTTGACCTCATTTTCTTGGATCCTAAATGTTAATGTGATACTTGTAGTAAAACTTTATATGTTACTAAGCTTACTATCAACATAAAATCAATGGTCAGTATAGAAGGCGGGACATTTCAGCATGACTGCACTCTTGTTTTGCTTTTGTTAGGGAATAACCATTTAACTTCAAGGGGGGTTATTGTTTTTCCTAAAAAAATATTCTGATCCCCAATTTGATGGAAAAAAATAGAGGTCACTTAGCAGATGACAAAAAAACAATTCTGAATCCAGATTTTCCCCATACCTTATAGTGTTAAATTTTGCAAATGGTAAAATTTGCACCCTTATGGTTGGTAGAAGAAAGAACTGACACGACTGAGTACTTTGATATCATCACCAGAAGAGGGTCTTTCAGTATAAGCAAGGAATTGTATATTTAAAAGGAATGGAAACGCGGCTCGAGATCAATCGGGATACCCGCAGAGCACCCGCAGAGCACCCGCAGAGCTATAGGGAAAACGGTACTATTACATTTTCCCAGCATTAGGTTGGCCTTTTGTGTACCCAAGGCAGGTGAAGGAAGTCAACTTAGGAGCGCTGTGATTGGATGTAAGGGTACAATATATTTTTTTATTTATCTATAAATAACTGCAGTGTGTATATTTACAATATAAATTTTGAAACCCATTGAAATATTTTCTAGAGAATTATTCGAAACGACTTCCAAAATTTCATAAATTTGGTGTAAAATGACGGTGGGCATGGATAACATAAACAAGCTCCGTTGGAAGTTGGTCATGATACTAGTTGGCTTCAATTTTTAAAACAGAATAATAAAGTACTAACACCACACATAATTGTTTTATCCCGGTTTTTATTATAAAAAGTGGTAAATTTAGAAAATGTTAGTATTGTCGCCTATGACGGAATAAATAGTACCGTTTTCCCTATATTCCATGTCTGTCTCAGTCGGAAGTATGATGAATAATATAAAGAATCATAAATCATGACGGAGGTCCATTTCCTGTCATATAGATCGGTCTTTTAATTCACGGGGTCATCTTGCTTGAGAAGATATAAAGGAGAGAGAAACCCAAAATCAAGAATAAACTTTTAATCCATGAAAAAGGCAAGGCCTTAGGTATCATTTCAATGCCTCATCAAACATACGTTTGTAATATTGTATTATGTAAATTCTCATTAAAATAGACCTTGGTCTTGAAACTTGAGCGAGTTTCATCCGGATTACAAAACAAAAAATACTGTGTTTTGATTTTTTTCTAAAAGCTCGACAACTACGAAGTGCAAAACAAAACAGTTGATATCATTATGAAGCTGAAACCTTATTCTATCATTTTGCCCTTTTTTTAAGTTTCTGGTAACATTTCTGAATTTTCTACGATTTTTCGAAATTTCAGTTCTGTATTTCATTATTCTGTCAAAATATGTCTATCAATCTGGGAGTGTACTACGGTTTCTTTTAAATATTGGAAAGTAGAAAGAACAAAGTGAGAAAATGAGATATCATTTTAAAGAAGGAATATTTTCCTACAGTTTGGTCTAAATTACGAATGCTAAATGTAATTGGTACAATGTAAATGATTTTATTTCGAAACATGTTGAAAATTTGAAGTAGTGCGTCAATAAATACATCAACACTTCGTATTTTGGTAAGGGTTAAATAACTACTTGAAATAGATGTGACATTGACATACAACTTAAAAGATTAATCTTTTTTCTATCACATAGTGTTGGTTTTATGAAAATGGTGATAAAAACGAATTTGCTATGATTTTTCAAAATCCCATATTATAGTTCACATTGACGCCATTTTGTTCAGTCAAGTTCCACACCGACGAAGTCGGAAATTACAGGCAAGAAATGTATATAAGACTTCCGATTGGGATTGATTGTGCCGTTTTTACACGATTTTAATCATTTATCTTTTGTCAAATACTATTTTTATACTTAATCGTAGTTTGGTATTGTAGTTTGCCATTATTAAGCTTTGAAGCAAATTACCACAAGCTTTAAAGCAAAACAGTTCCTTCCTTTTTTTTCTAGAAGAGCAGTAGTCTAGAGGTCGCAAAATATTTCTTCGGTGTTGAAATAAATAATATGCGAATGTCGGAAAGTTTTAACTGTTTCTAATTAAAAAAATTATTGCACCACGGCATAATTTAGCATTTATTAACAGGTGAGCTCGGCGTGATTTCTTTTTGACACCTTAAATCAGGGACAGCCTATAGTTAGTATACACTGCAGTTCCTGCTTAAATATATATACGACAAAAATTAGCTGTTCAATGATACATGATAGATTATACCTGCAAATTGGATATCCCATACCGGTGTTTATTATAACACCTATTATCTAAGTTCTTTTATCTAGACAAAATACTACATCTGTTCACGTACTTCTGCCTTTATACTTTTCTATACCAGTCATATTCCAAAATTGAAAAGTTATTTTTTAACTTTTTGCATTACCTTAAATCTTTTTAAAAACTCGTATAATGTCAGATTTCATCTATTAATTGATCTTAATTGTTGCATACCATCGTGAAATATCAAGGGGAGGTACAAGAAAAAAAAATGTTTTTCAGAAGTAACTTTGTTTAAGGTTGTATTTTTTGTTTATTTCATTTAAGGAATTGTATATCTAAATAGACAATTTCTCGTTTCATTTCATGATTAAATGACCAAGTTCGATAACTACTGCCAGATAAGTAATGAGCCAGTTAGCCTCGGAGCGACGGGATGTAATTAACACACCACCCAAGTCAGAGATGCATCATACAATTTTCTCTGAAGTCGGCCGCGTTTCCATTCCTTTTAAATATACAATTCCTTGGTATAAGCAGAGACATATACTACTATGTCTCTGGTATAAGTGAGTAAAATTGTTATTTAAAAATCCAGAGTTCTATCAATATTTAGAAAAAAAATATATGGTAAAAAACTTGGTTCAAACTTTTAAAACTATAGACGGTATACCTTTGATGTACAATGACACAGGCACTTTTCTCTAAAATTTTGTTTACATATAAGTAAATAAGGGTTCTGATACATAGGCCAGTGGTACATGACCCTTTTGCCTTTTTATTAGATCTTTCTCGTTCTTTTTTATACCTATTATCTCTTTCGGTGTTGAGTTACCTCTATTCCGTTTTTGATTTCAATATTACTATGTTTGATTGACTTCCGTCAAAAAAATTGTCAACTCCAACTGTCGAAATCTTCTTTGGATACTGTATATTTCTTTGAAAAAGTTTTAAATTTAAATTGAAGTATATTCATATTTGGGATTAAATGTCTCTCGTCGCATATTATACTTCTAGTGACAATGACAGTGAAGACGAAACTGGTGTTCAACATCATGAAAACAGCACCAATGACAATGTCAATGAAACAAACCACAGTGTGGGATCAACAACAAATATTTCCCTGGAAAAAATAATGAAATCGGAAAATGAAAAACCACACCAGACCCAAGAGATTCAAAGTTTGATCCATGAAGTTGATGATTCTGTTAACTCCCTCTTAAAAAGTATGCCCATGTGTCTACATTCATTTCTTGGAAGTGATACACTGATAGTCCAAAACTCATATACATGTACATATATATGACATCTTGAAAGGCTGTTTTAATTATTGCTTTGATGCCTTCCTATGAAATCACATCATTGAAGCCATTAATTTCGTCCAACCTTTGAGAGGAAATTTTGCTCTCAACTTTGAGAACCAATTTTGCCATGAAATATTTGACAAGAAATTCTTGCATATGTACAAATTCTTACCTTTTGTGTGCTTGATGGTGCAAAATATGTCCAGAAATATCCAAATTAATGATAACATAAGTTACAATCCCATCCAATATCACAATGACCTACTTTTTTTAAAATGGTTTAGTACCCAGATTCCCAAGATTTTTTACTTTTAGAGTATAGATAAGTTTTGAAAACGAACTCTGTAAAATTTGACTGACCCGAATTTTGGGAATATTAGATTTATAGTATTCAGAAATTTAGGTCAGTCAAATTTAATTTTAAGATGTATTTATATTCGTGATAGTGTCAATTCCAGCTGTAGGTTTTCATGATACGTAATACAGTACTGCTAAGCTTGCAATAAACTTTTACTTTTTGTAGAAACTTATGTTTCCAATAAGGTGTAGTACAGGAAGCAGGGTTTCCGCTCGCAGTCACCATTTTTTCCATTTTGCAAAAAATATAAAAATAACGTTTTAACACTATATTTAATGATGTTCGCTACTCTGTTTCAAATTAAAAAACTTTTTAAAAGACTGTTATAAATTGATAGTATATAAATATAGGAACTTAAAAAGGAGAAAAAAATGAGAACAGTCTGTGTGCTTGTTTTCGAGATATACATGTAAGCCATTGAAAATTTGGCGGGAAATTATTCTCTCTAGATTTTTCATACATTTAACATTGGCACGTGTTTTCTTTCAAAAACTAAGAAAAAAATTACATGGATTTGAAAAGATTTTCAAATATGGCTTTTTGAACTACATGTATACATAATAAAATTATGAAAAGAAAAGTTGGGATTAGCAGACAAAATTTGTCAATGGCACTACATGGATAAAACCAGAGGTTTCCGAATATTTGGCAAAAATTCAAAAACAAGAGGAGCGAACATCCTAAAACTATGGACAGAAAAAGTCAAAGCTGTTTAAAAAAACCACCAAAAAATACAAAATTAAAAACATTGTTGATTTTATTCAGAGCCCTTCAACAAGACTAAAAGTATACTCACTATAGTCATAATGAATAGATTGAGGATGAATCACTACCTGATGATGCTTTTGGATACACATTTAATAATTGCCTTTGTAATGTAATTTTACAGTATCCATAAATGTAAACCTAATTATAATTATTATTATAATTTGGTGTTTTTTTATTAAATTGTTGAAAATGAAATAGTGGTGTGGGGTTAATGTACAATCATGACAATGGGATTTAATATACAAGTTGAAGGCCGTACCTTGACCTATAATGGTTTACTTTTATACATTGCAACTTGGATGGAGAGTTGTCTCATTGGCACTCATACCACATCTTCCTATATCTAAGTACATGTTATCATGTCATAGTAGATCTCAGATGTGCAAGAGAAACCAGTACTGCTAATAGAAATTTAGCTATAGGTAGTTTGCAAAAAGGAAAATACATGTAAGTTGGTGAAAATAGTATTGTTTTGGTGAAAGGGGTAGCGAAAAGACATTGAACCCAGGGGAAACCCTAACAGGAAGGTACATAATTCCATAATGACATCTTGTTAGGTTAAAAAAGACATGTACACATGTACTTGAGAAGAAACTGAGACAATAAATTAGACAACAGATGTAATATTGAATTTACTTATATACTGTGGATTCAGCATTGATCGGATACGAATATTTGTATATTAGATTTGTGGGTAAACATGAACCACGAATTCTAATGTAAACAAACTAAGTATAAATTTTTTATAGACTTGTATTCAAACCTTGGCAAAACCACAAGTCAAATAACCATGAAAATACGATTTTTCCTCAATCCACAAAAATTGGTACTCTCAAAAGTGAATGAATCCACAGTACAAATTAATGTATATTATGATTGTTTGAACCTCCTTCTTTAATGTTAACAGATTTACCTGCACCAAAAACAGTGACACAATCTGATGGAAAACAAGATGATTATCTAGAAGATGCAGTCAAACCTAAACCATCACAGACAGCAGATGCTCCGAAACCTCCTTCAAAAACTAGAAAGCCAGTGAAAATATCTATACCTACCATTGATTCAGTAAGATTATTTCATTATATTTCAATTTAAGTTTTGAATATGCATGATGGTAAAAGGGAAGCGGCAGTTTTTCAAGCTGTAAATACTGGTCGATACTATTAAATATTTATATCTTATATTCTAAATTATTGTAGACATGGAATTAGTTAATACGTTATCAAGTATCCTCACTTTGGACAATTTCTGATATAAAAATATGCATAAATTCACAGATCTACATACTGTCAATAAAAATATGCATAAATTCACAGATCTACATACTGTCAATAAAAATATGCATAAATTCACAGATCTACATACTGTCAATAAACGTATGCATAAATTCTCAGATCTACATACTGTCAATAAAAAATGCATAAATGCACAGATCTACATACTGTCAATAAAAATATGCATAAGGTGGTACATAACACTACAGGGAGATAACTATGTAAAAATCAGCTGAACATTTTAATCACGTTCTATTGTTGAGATAAAAGATACAACAGATACATTTAAGTCTGCCTCATATCTTGACTTACATCTAGAAACTTACAATGAGGGTCGGTTGAAAACAAAACTTTACGACAAAAGAGATGATTTCAGCTTCCCAAATGTGAACTTTCCATTTCTATGTAGCAACATACCAGCAGCGCCTGCATACAGAGTATATATTTCCCAGTTGATACGATATTCTAGGGCTTGTATTTCCTTGATGGAAAGAAGCTGCTCACAAGGAAGCTATTAAACCAAGAGTTCCAAGTGGTGAATTTGAAATCATCCCTTCGTAAGTTTTACAGATGCCATCACGAGTTGGTTGACGTTATGGAATATCACAGATGATAGCGGATATGTTCCTAATATCGTATCTACAATCCTGTCCCCTTTTCCCGAATGTGACCTACCGCATTAGACTTATTACCAGGTTTGTACTAAAATGAGCAACACAACGGGTGCCACATGTGGAGCAAGATCTGCTTACCCATCCAGAGCTCCTGAGATCACCCCCAGTTTTTGGTCGGGTTCGTGTTGCTCAGTCTTTAGTTTTCTATGTTGTGTTTTGTATACTATTGTTTATCTGTTGGTCTTTTTCTTTTTTAGCCATGGCGTTGTCAGTTTATTTTCAACTTATGAGTTTGAATGTCCCTCTGGTATCTTTCGCCTCTCTTTAAGGAAATATTAAGCTTCTCAATAATCAAAATAAGTGTTTGTCAAACTGCTATATATCCAATGAAATTTTTCCGATAAAGTGTGTGGTTCAAGTTTTTTTAATTTTTATATTTTTGGCAAAGGGTCAAAGTAAATATTTTGTCAATATTTTATGAAAATTAAACTAGCCAAATCAATTTAAGTCAAGGTGTTTGGTACCACCTTAAGCTTCTTAAAAGAGACCTAAAAGGGGGTGTACTGGATAGATGTGTCCTCATCTATTTATTATTATGACACGGGTTATGTTCTTCTCATATATTTTATGACGGTATAATACTAAACCCCTAACAGGAGGGATTGTGCCTGATATTCATATGATGAAGACATAATCTTTCAATCAGTTTAATTGAGGTCTGGAGCTGGCATGTCAGTAACTGCTAGTAGTTTGTTGTTATTTAAGTATTATTGTCATTTTGTTTATTTTCTTTTGTTTCCTATTCTGACATTGGACTCGGAATGCTCTTAAACTGAGTTTTACTGTGCGTACTGTTGTATGTTTGTTTTTTCTACATTGGCTAGAGGTATAGGGGGAGGGTTGAGATCTCAAAAAACATGTTTAACCCCGCCGCATTTTTGCGCCTCTGTCCTTTGTTAGTCTTGTATCATTTTTAATTTTAGTTTCTTGTGTATAATTTGGAGTTTAGTATGACGTCCATTATCACTGAACTAGTATACATATTTGTTTAGGGGCCAGCTGTAGGACGCCTCCGGGTGCGGTAGTTTCTCGCTGCATTGAAGACCTATTGGTGGACTTCGGCTGTTGTCTGCTCTATGGTCGGGTTGTTGTCTCTGTGACACATTCCCCATTTCCATTCTCAATTTTATTATTATTCATGTAGATGATTTTTCAAAAATTATTCCAGATTCAATTAATTCCTTGTTACAAGTACATTAGATTAAGATGTGTGGTACTTATAAGAGACAGTTAGCAAACAGTAAAAAAGAAGCAAAAAGACATCTAGAGGTCAACATATGGTTTTAAATAATAGACAAGTGTCCATACAGTTAGTCAAGCTCTAAATTGCACAAAGCTTGATTTTTAGTCATAACGTATGGAATATTCATGTTCAAATCATTCCTATTTTACCATTTGTTTATCAATTTTGTTAAAGGGCTCAAAGAGATGAGTACAAGAAAAGACATTTGCCTTTTGAATAAGATTTTGACAGAAACAGTATTTTGTTGAATGTGATAAAAGTATACATAAAGATATATATTTTATTTTTCAGGATTCAGATGATGAAAATGAACCGAGAAAAAAGAAACAGAAAATAGTTCCTCAGACAGTAGGTTATTGATTTACTTTGAGAAATGAGATGAAGGGTATGTATGTCAATGGGACAGCAAACAAACAATGCAAAAAATGAAATCCATGAACTTTGTCTAGCTGTTGGAGACAAATTATGTTTGAATGTAGAAAAAGTACCAATTTAACTTTTTTGCATTACAAAAAAATCTTTCATGAAAAGAATACTGTGACATATCTATTCAAATCATTAGTGTTCATTTGGTAACTAATTTTTTTATATGCAACTTATTAGAAGAAAAAAAAACTTTACAAAGTAAATGTTCATTTACTGAAAACAGATTTGCAGATGATAACATCATTTGCTCTGGAGAAGGATTTTATGACTTGACAACATTATTACATGCCGTGAAGTGCAGATAAGTTTAATGAATATAATCAATGCAATTTTTCAATTAGGGCAATGCTGATTAAGTCCAATTTTTTTTGGTCAATGTGCTGGTTGGGGGGGGGGGGGGGGGGGCATCTATTGTCAGCTTTTTGTTTGTTTTCACACATTAGATCCAACGGTTAATTTTGATTATCTTCATTAAATTTAAATTGATATATTGATATTTTTTAATCACATAATTAATATAATTACAGGGCAAAACCGGATTGACAGCAATTTTACCACCTCCTATTCATTCTTCAAGAAAAGAATCTAACCGAACATTATTACCTTATATCTTCACAAAAAAGAAACAAACAGACTCTAAGCCAGTGATAAATAGTACTAACAACAGTGTGAAATCAACAACTGTTACTAAAACTGGTCCTACATCAGTAACATCTAAGACTTTAAATATTGCCACATATGGAAGTGAAAGTGAGGATAGTGGAAATGAAGATGACTCATCAAATTTCTTTGCTCTAGGTTCAGTTGAACAAACAGTTAAACCTGCTGAATCATCAAATTTCTTTTCGCTGGACTCAGAAGTGCAACCTACAAAAGGGGAAAAATCATCAAACTTCTTTTCATTAGATATGCATATTCATCCCATAAGATCTGGTGAATCATCTATGCATTCAACATTACCTAAAATAAATTTAAATCTTCCTCCTCCAATTAAGTCTGTTGAAACAAAAGTTACAGTAGAGACTGACCAATCAGATCTATCAGCACAACATACAAGTTTGAAGAGAGGTGTAATTGGAACTGATTCCTCAATTGTGGAAAATCCTATTAATCGGGACAAGCCATTAAATTTGATTTCTACTATGGAAAATGCACCATTGACTTTTAAATCTACAATGAAAAATCCTTATAGAAATTTTTCAAGTTTTCAACCAGAAAATTCTTATCAACCAGCAAGTTATGGAACAGAGACAGTAGGTCCTACTGTATGTGAACAGAATGAACAGGTAATGTTTTATTTTGGTAGGAGTTATTTTCATTTTTGGCAAGTATTTTCATAGCACTTCAGATGAATTGGGCAATAGATTTCATAAAATTTGATAAGGTAGGGTTCATATGACATGGGTGAAGAAGTTGCTTTCCCTTTTTTCGCTATGCTATTTCCGACTGCCAAAAGCTATAATTAATTTGTTCTGGAGTTGCAACAGTCCCTCTCTTAATAGGTAATTTTTAATTTTGATCAGGTTGATGTAACTCCAATCTTTCATTTATAAGTCAAGAAAATAAAAGATATAGACAATTTATCTCTTGTTCTTGAGAAACAATGTGAAAGCATTGACAGTGAAGACTGATCGTATATTATTTGAAAACAAGAGTGTTTTATGTAAACACATCAGGTCATTTTCTTTCTTCCTTTCTGTTTTAACTAGCTATACTCAGGGTTGAAAAATTTTTCCAGGGAGAAAATTATTGAACTAAAAAAGATATGTATGAGTCTCTCTTCTCATATATTCAAGTGCTTGTACAAACAATTTGTAGATGGCGATGCGGATGATTTCGTTAGTATAGCTGAATACCAAAAATCATTAAGTAAAGAGATAAAATAAAAGTAAAAACCTCCACAAATGAAAGATGGACTCCTTCACAACAGAAAAGGTAATATCAAATCACGTACTGCGTTTATTTTAACATTAAGTGCATGAAAGGAAGATCATTGTCACTAGATATCATCATTTACTGTATCTATTTTACTTTAGGTTGAAGGATATTCTAATGCAGACGACATAAATGTTTTACAGCAGGATGAAGAGGTATGTACATTAATTATCAAAAAGAGACTATAAAAATAGTTATGCAGCCTTAGCTTTTTATACCCCCGCTTTAAAAAAGGGGGTGTATACTGTTTTACCTCTGTCTGTCCTTCCGTCAGTCCATCCGTCAGTCAGTCCGTCCGTCCGTCCCATGAATATTTTCGTCGCATTTTTCTCAGGAACTACTTGACAAGGATTTCTAAAATTTGGTTTCAGGGTTTATATAAGTAAGTTACACCGAGTGATGCGTTTTCAGAATCATCACTCAACAACTTCCTGTTTACCGAACACTTGTATTATTTTACACATGATAGCCAAGTTGAAAATTTTCATCACATTTTTCTCAGGAACTACTTGACAAGGATTTCTGAAATTTGGTTTCAGGATTTATATAAGTAAGTTACACCGTGTGATGCGTTTTCAGATTCATCACTCAACAACTTCCTGTTTACCGAAATATTTTAGCAGGGGTATCAACAGTGACCAGTAGCTCACATTTTTACTTGTTATGCCTGCATGTAGGAGGCTTTTGTTTACACACTGGTAAAACAGAAATTAATGTTATATTTAATTGTAAAGACTACAACAATATAAATATCTGATAGTTAAAGCCTGCATTTTAATTTTTGTCTCACCTGTGAAAGTCACAGTTGGTTAAAAGAAGGAATTCCTTTTCTTGGTATCTTCTTGTTAGCGATATAATTTTCATTTTTGTACTACAAAAAGTACATGAATGACATTAATTTAATACATATAAAATTTTGAAATTATGCAGTAAAACTGCAAGAAATGGACAATTTTAAATGCGTTAAATGAACAAGGTTTCTTTGACTCTTTCTTTTCACAAAAAAAATTATAATAAAAAATACTTTTATGATGTAAACATTTAAGTGTTAATTTAAAAATCAATTTTAGTTTTAAGATTTTTATGCCGTACCGGAGGGGGCATTAATTTTTACAGTTGTCCGTCTGTACGTCTGTATGTACGTCCCAAAGTTGGTTCCCGTTCTCTAACTTTAGTTTGCCTCAACCAAATGTTATGAAACTTATACACAATGCTTATTACCACAAAACACAGATCAAGTTTGAATTTTGGTGGTGTAATCTTAACCGTTCTAGAGTTATGCCCTTTACAAATGGAATAAAATGCTTCGCTGGGGCGCAGCTTGATACGACCGCAGAGGTCGAATCCTGAACAGTTGGGGCAAATATGGACACAACATTCAAGCTTGATACAGCTCTGAATTTGGATTGTTATTAAATATTTGACACAGCATAGGTTTCTGACACAGAAAGAATGTGGTCTAAGCACTTGAATTTTTTTAATTTACCTATTATGGTCCAATGTCCAAAATCAAAATACATGGTTAGATTCAGCATATCAAAGAACCCCATATATTCAATTTTTGTTAAAATCAAACAAAGTTTAATTTTGGACCCCAACTTGGACAAACTTGAAAACTGGGCCCATAATCAAAAATCTAAACACATGTTTAGATACAGCATATCAAAGAACCCCAAGAATTCAATTTTTGCTAAAATCAAACTAAGTTTCATTTTGGACCCTTTGGACCTTAATGTAGATCAGTTTAAAAAACAGGACTTAAAATTAAAAATCTAAATACACGGTTACATTTGGAATATCAAAGAACCCCAATAATTCAATTTTTGATGAAATCAAACAAAGTTTAATTTTGGACCCTTTTGACCTCAATATGAACCAATTTGATAGTGGGGCCCACAAATAAAAAATCTAAATTCATGGTTAGATTCAGCATATCAAAGAACCCCATATATTCAATTTTTGTTGAAATCAAAAAAAGTTTAATTTTGGACCCCAACTTGGACCAACTTGAAAACTGGGCCCATAATCAAAAATCTAAACACATGTTTAGATTCAGCATATCAAAGAACCCCAAGAATTCAATTTTCATTAAAATCAAACTAAGTTTAATTTTGGACCCTTTGGACCTCAATGAAGACCAATTTAAAAAACAGGACCCAAATTAAAAATCTAAAAACACGGTTAGATTTGGCATATCAAAGAACCCCAATAATTCAATTTTTGATGAAATCAAACAAAGTTTAATTTTGGACCCTTTTGACCTCAATATGAACCAGTTTGAAAGCGGGGCCTACAAATAGAAAATCTAAATACATGGTCAGATTCAGCATATCAAAGAACCTCAATAATTCAATTTTTGTTGAAATCAAACAAAGTTTAATTTTGGACCCCAATTTGGACCAACTTGAAAACTGGGCCCATAATCAAAAATCTAAATACATGTTTAGATTCAGCATATCAAAGAACCCCATATATTCATTTTTTGTTGAAATCAAACAAAGTTTAAATACTGGACCCTATCTTGGACCAACTTGAAAACTGGGCCCATAATCAAAAATCTAAACACATGTTTAGATTCAGCATATCAAAGAACCCCAAGAATTCAATTTTTGTTAAAATCAAACTAAGTTTCATTTTGGACCGTTTGGACCTTTATGTAGACCAATTTAAAAAACAGGACCCAAAATTAAAAATCTAAATACACGGTTAGATTTGGAATATCAAAGAACCCCAATAATTCAATTTTTGATGAAATCAAACAAAGTTTAATTTTGGACCCTTTTGACCTCAATATGAACCAATTTGATAACGGGGTCCACAAATAAAAAATCTAAATACATGGTTAGATTCAGCATATCAAAGAACCCCATATATTCAATTTTTGTTGAAATCAAACAAAGTTTAATTCTGGACCCCAATTTGGACCAACTTGAAAACTGGGCCAAAAATCAAAAATCTAAATACATGTTTAGATTCAGCATATCAAAGAACCTCATATATTCAATTTTTGCTAAAATCAAACAAAGTTTAATTTTGGACCCTTTGGACCTTAATGTAGACCAATTTGAAAACTGGACCCAAAATTAAAAATCTAAATACACTGTTAGATTCGGCATTACAAATAAATAAATGTGATCAAAGATTTTACAAATCTTATGCGCCATACTGTGCAATTAAATACTTCTTGAAATTTTTCAATATTTGAAATTTGAAAAAAAAAAAATTTTTGAAGAATAATTCTTTTTAATTTCTGAAATCTGAAATGAGAAAAAATTGACCCCCCACAATTTCTTTTTATCCCCCCCCCCCCCCTTTTTTCCCCAAAAAAATTCTTTCCCTCAAGATATGGTCATAATCTCAATTCAAATTTCCAATGGAGTTGGCAACCATAATTACCCATTTAAATTTTCCATAGTGCTAACTTAATCTATTTTATAATAGAATTAAAAATATAGTGTCAAATCTTTTATATGGATTTTTTTGTAAAAAAAAAAGATGCAACATTTGCAGATATTTTTACTGATCTTCCTTTATAAATGTGCATTTCTTTAAACATAATTTAAAAGCAGTGTAAGGGAAGTAACCAAAACGTTGTATTTGGATTACCTCCCTTACACTGTTTTAAATTATCTTTATTGTTCATTAACCATTACTTTATACATAATTTAAAAGCAGTGTAAGGGAGATAATTTCAATGATGTATTTGATTTATCTCCCTTACACTGCTTTAAATTATGTTTTGTACTAAAGTATTTGTCCATTAACCAGGACAACCCTGTTTTTCCCCCTTTTTATACGACCGCAAAAATTAAAAATTTTTTGGTCGTATATTGGTATGACGTTGGCGTCGTCGTCGTCGTCTGGCGTCGTCCGGCGTCGTCCGAAGACACATTGGTTTTCGCACTCTAACTTTAGTTTAAGTGAATGGATCTCTATGATATTTTACCACAAAAGGAAGGTTGGGATTGATTTTTGGGGTTATGGTACCAGGGATGGGCACGATATTGACAAATGTAATCGATTAATAATCGATTACATGAAGGTATTTTGTGCAATCGATTAATAATCGATTACTCAGATTTTTTGTATGTAATCGATTGCAATCGATTACTTTATCAAAAGTAATTACATTACTTTTCGATTACTGTCAACTACATGCTTCAAAATTTAAAACAAAAAAAAAGTAAGTTAAAAACTATTATGTTGATCAACGTTTGTATAGTAGATATTTAGAACTTTACCAAAAAACAGCATTTAAATCATTGTTTCCAAATTATAAGTTGACAGTTGTTATCTAGATGGAATCTCTTACTGAGGATCAGAATTATTTTAAAAAATCTTGAAATTTGACTTTTAACATGAATTAGAGATGACATTGCATTCCATCAATCACTTATATATATGTTTAAGGTTTTATTTCAATAATATTGCTTTCGTACTGACTTAAGGTAGCTTTTTTGTTTTTATTCATTAAAAGCAGGTATATTTTAGCATAGTTATTTACAATGTTGGAAGTTTTCTCTGAAGAAAGTATAAAAAAGTAGAATTATTAATTAGTTCAGCTAATTTTAAGGATCAAAATTTATAATTATAACGACAAACATGATTTAATCCTTTTGTTGGAAAACCACCTTAATTATAGGTTATAAAACTGCCAATTGAGTACAATTTATAACCTGGGGCAAAACATTGTAAATCTCCATCTTAATTAGACAAACAGTAATTGAAATAAAAACAAAGTATGTGTCTTATATAGTGATTAGAAGACTTTGATCATCTGATTAGTAAAGACAAGAAGTTTGTTAAGATTTTTTTATTCTATAATAAAATTATAAACAGTATATATTTATAGTGTCAACGAGGGATACATGTATCTTTTTCTGAAAAGAATTTCAATGCATAGGCATTGGTTCACTGTTAAAAGGATTTTGTGTACTTATTTTTTATATACATGTATATCATAACATTATAAGAAATCAACTGTTTATCTATTCTAAGCTTAAATCTTATTGAAAAGTATGCTTTTAGGAAATTTAATACAAATAAGCTTACTACTTTAAGGAAGTACAGAACTTAACTTAAGACAGTCATTTCTTATTTTAAATCTATTTTCTTATTTCAAATCTATTTTCTTATTTTAATATAAAAGGTGTTGACTTATTGACAAGCACATTTGTTTCAAAAGCTAGATATAAAGTAAATTATGGTAGGGGATCTGGTTGATCATAATGCAGCATGAGACAATAGATAGAAATATAAAGGCAGTTGATAAACTCTTAAGTCATATCAGTACTTCAAAGTGATGAATACATAAATGTTTTCATTTAAAATAGGTTATATTTCATCAAACTATTTTACTAAAGTAATCGAAATGTAATCGAAAGTAATCGATGATTACATCATGATTTTTGCTGTAATCGATTAAATTACGATTACATGTAATCGAAAATGTCTTCGATTACAGATTACTGTCGATTACTGGAAAAAATGTAATCAATTACAATCGATTACGATTACAGATTACGATTACCCCATCCCTGTATGGTACCAACAGTAAAGGAATTAGGGGCCAAAAATAAGCATTTTTGTAACTTCCAGACATAACTTGTTTGTTAGTGTATGGATATCTCTGACATTGTACCACAAGGTTCCATATCACAAAAGGAATGCTGGGATTGATTTTATGGGGTAATTGTCTCAAAATTTTAGGAATTAGGGGCCAAAAAAGGGGCAAAAAACAAGCATTTTTCTAGTTTCATGACAATAACTTGTGTGTAAGTGTTTGGATATTTCTGAAATTGTACTACAAGGTTCCATATCACAAAGGGAAAGCTGGAATTGAGTTTAAGGGTTATTGCCCGAAACGTTTAGGAATTGGGGGCCAAAAAGGGGCCAAAAATAAGCATTTTTCTAGTTTCCAGACAATAACTTGTGTTCAAGTGTATGGATCTCTCTGAAATTGTACTGCAAGGTACCATACCACAAAGGGAAGGCTGGGATTGAGTTTGGGGGTGATGAATCATAAGGGGGTTCTAAAAATTTGGGGGGGATTTTTTTTTTTTTCTTTTTTTTTCTTTTTTTCATTTTTTTTTCTTTTAAAATTTTCCATTTTAAGTTGGTTATTACTGATTTATATTTAAAAGCAAATAATAATGATATGGTAGGAGATACACACCAAACAGGATGTGTAAGTTATTATATAATAAGTATTGTGCAATAGCAAGAAATTTTCAATTGCACAGTATTGCACAATAGCAAGAAATCTTCAATTGCACAGTATTGCGCAATAGCAAGAAATCTTCAATTGCACAGTATTGCACAATAGCAAGAAATATCCAATAGCACAATATTGCGCAATAGCAAGAAATTGTCAATTGTACAGTATTGCGCAATAGCAAGAAATATTCAATTGCACAGTATTGTGCAAAAGAAGATACTTCGTATAAATTGCTTATAACTTTCAATGGGTTTTTTTTTCTTGAATTCTTGGGGTTCTTTAATATGCTGAATCTAACCGTGTATTAAGTTTTTGGATTTTGGGCCCCGTTTTTAAATTGGTCCACATTGAGGTCCAAAGGGTCCAAAATTTAACTTTGTTTGATTTCGTCAAAAATTGAATTATTGGGGTTCTTTGATATGCCGAATCTAACCGTGTATTTAGATTCTTAATTTTTGGTTCCGTTTTCAAATTGGTCTTCATTAAGGTCCAAAGGGTCCAAAATTAAACTTTAGTTTGATTTCAACAAAAATTGAATTTTTAGGGTTCTTTGATATGCTGAATCTAAACATGTATTTAGATTTTTGATTATGGGCCCAGTTTTCAAGTTGGTCCAAATCGGGGTCCAAAATTAAACTTTGTTTGATTTCAACAAAAATTGAATATATGGGGTTCTTTGATATGCTGAATCTAACCATGTATTTAGATTTTTGATTTTTGGGCCCCGTTATCAACTTTGTCCACATTGAGGTCAAAAGGGTCCAAAATTAAACTTTGTTTGATTTCATCAAAAATTGAATTCTTAGGGTTCTTTGATATGCTGAATCTAACCATGTATTTAGATTTTGGATATTGGACCATAATAGGTGAATGTCCAATTTAAAATTTTTAAGTTCTTAGACCACATTCATTCTGTGTCAGAAACCTATGCTGTGTCAAATATTCAATCACAATCCAAATTCAGAGCTGTATCAAGCTTGAATGTTGTGTCCATACTTGCCCCAACTGTTCAGGGTTTGACCTCTGCGGTCGTATCAAGCTGCGCCCTGCGGAGCATTTTATTTGCCCCTAATTCCTAAACGGTTTGAGCCATAACCCCCCAAAGCAAATCCTAACCATCCCTTTGTGGTATGGAAACTTGTAGTATAATTTCAGAGAGATCCATACACCGTTCCACAGTTATTGTCTGGAAACTAGAAAATGCTTATTTTTGGCCCCTTTTTGGCCCCTAATTCCTTAACTGTTGGTACCATAACCCCCAAAATCAATCCCAACCTTCCTTTTGTGGTATTTAACCTTATGGTCAAATTTCAAAAAGATCCATTCACTTAAACTAAAGTTAGAGTGCGAAAACCAATGTGTCTTCGGACGACGACGCCAACTTCATACCAATATACGACCACAAAATTTTTTTGTGGTCGTATAAAAATTGCTGAATTTTTCGTTTCCGTTCTCTAACTTTAGTTTGCCTCAACCAAATGTTATGAAACTTATACACAATGCATATTACCACAAAATATAGATCAAGTTTCAATTTTGGTGACATCACTTTAATCGTTCTAGAGTTATGCCCCTTTACAAATGGAAAAATTGCTGAAATTTTCATTTCTGTTCTCTTACTAAAGTTAGCCTCAACCAAATGTTATGAAACTTATACACAATACTTATTACTACAAAACACAGATCAGTTTTGAATATTGGGGGTGTCATTTTAACCATTCTAGAGTTATGCCCCTTTACAAATGGAAAAAATTGCTGAATTTTCCGTTTCCTTCTCTGACTCAAGTTAGCCTCAACCAAATGTTATGAAACTTATACACAATGCTTATTACCTGAAAATACAGATCAAGTTTGAACTTTGGGGATGTCACTTTTATTGTTCTAGAGTTATGCCCCATTACAAATAGAAAAATTGCTGAATTTTTTGTTTCCATTCTTTAACTTAAGTTTGCCTCAACCAAATTTTATGAAACTTATACACAATACTTATTACCACAAAACTCAGATCAAGTACAAATATGGATAGATTCACTTTTACCGTTCTTCAGTTATGTCCCTTTATAACTTTATATGATATGCAAGGGGGGGCATCATCTGTGTCCCATGGACACATTCCCCATTTATTTGTGAAGTTAGCCACTCATTTGAAATTAACTTTAAATTTGACAAGGTTTTTTTAAAATTCATCCGCTGATCAAGAATATTCAATAGGATCTTCTCAACTTTTGAAAGGAAGTATCAAAATTGTTAAAGGAGAAAACATTTGTATTGTGAAAAGCTGTGATCATATGTTGATAATTTTTTATATTTTATAGTTTCTTAGGTTACAAGGGAAGCACCAACGTGGAAAAGAGCCTATACAATTTGTAGATGTCAATGCGGATGATTTCATTAGTACAGCTGAATATCAAAAAGCACTCAGTGAAGAGACAGAATATAGACCTTCACTTAAAAAGAAGGATGGACCTTCTTCACAACAGAAAAGAAAACATCAAATCACATATCTTGCTCACCAGGTAAAGTATTGTTATTTTTTTACAACATTTGGCATAACTTTTGAAGAAAATCATCAGGAAAATTACCTATAATTTTAAAAAACTATTACAATTATATATTGCAAAAAAATAGATTTTCCCAAAATAATGAGTTTAGGATTATGTTTTATTTCAAACTTTGAAAATGTCTACCTTAGATTTATTGATCACTGTTTCACAACTATATCATCTGGGAAAAAAAATGTTTATGGAAGTATTTAGCATTTTTAAAAACGATCTTCTTTCATATGTTTAATGCTAAAAATATGGGAATAAAACAAAACTGTTATAAAGAATATTTCAGGAGACTGTATACAAAAGTGTAGCATGAATTCCATATAATTTTTAATGGGTAATAGTATGGTATCAAAAATAACTCAAGTTGGAAATTCTATCGGTTCCTATTATCTCCATCTTTCTCTTAGGATGAGTTATGTCCATTTGTCTGTCTGTCTGTCTGTCTGTTGACAGGGGAATTTTTTCTTATCATCTCTGCAGTAATTTTATAGACAGTTATCATTTGAAATCAAAACTTATATGATGTGGGGTATAACTGCACAAAAAATAAAAGACATTATTTATTTTGTAAAAATATTTCCTTTCTCTATTTGAACTGTACACGTATACCTAACAACAAAATTATTTTCATTTACCTGTGTTTAAAGTAATTGTAAATGGCTGATATTTTTGTTCGAGCATAGTGTTTTTCTTAAAGTGTTTAACATTTCATAGCGGTATAATATGTTACTTTTATTATTCTTCTCTTAGTTTATTTATTTTGTATTTACATTGTATCATAGGTCAAATTTATTTGTTCAGTGTATGTTCACTGGTGTTAATATGTCCTTTGATTGAGTTAAACTATTTCAGTTGATATTTTATAGTGTGTCTTTCTATGTTGTGATGTTACACTATTGTTTCAGAATAAGGGTGAAGGTTTGGTACCATTAAAACGTTTAAACCTGCTGCAATTTTTTGCACCTGTCCTAAGTCAGGAATCTGATGTTCAGTAGTTGTCGTTTGTTGATGTGGTTCATAATTGTTTTTCGTTTTTTATATATATTAGACCATTGGTTTTCCCGTTTGAATGGTTTTACACTAGTAATTTTTGGGGCCCTTTATAGCTTGCTGTTCGGTGTGAGCCAAGGCTCCGTGTTGAAGACCGTACTTTGACCTATAATGGTTTACTTTTATAAATTTTGACTTGGATGGAGAGTTGTCTCATTGTACCACATCTTCTTATATCTATCTAGGTGTCAACATATTGTTTTCTATAATAGACAAGTGTCTTAAACTGTCTATACAATATTGTGCACAGTTCTTTTTTGTTTTATAGTTTATTATACCCCCTGCAAACAAAGTTTGGGGGTATATAGGAATCACCATGTCTGTCCTTCTTTGTGTTGGTGCATAACTTTTGTATCTTCGAAATTAGGTTGATAAAACTTGGTATGCAGATGTATGGGCTGGGGGTGTGTTATATACAAAAGTCCAGGGATAGAAACAAGATTTTATTTTAACTGGCCAAGCGGGCTAACTCCTTTCTAAATTAACTTGCCTTTCCAGACTTTTATTGGCCCTTTAAAATTTAGAAAAAATACATTGGATGTCCTAGATGTCCTAGATGTAGAAATGTTTTTAAATATGTGAAATCAGTCTCCCATTTAAGTAAATATTTCCTATTTTGACCTTCTTTTTCATAAACTCTTTGGTTTTAAATTCTGGAGTTATTTAATTTAATTTAGACACTTTGGCCTTATGAACGTAATTGTTAAGAAATCTTTCCAGTTTAGATCATTTTAACTTTAATGTATGGGGCTGACATTTTTGATTCAGCCATGCTGGATCTATGCGATCACTCTGATTTTGGAGATGGTGCAGAATACTAAGTTGAAGACATATCATGAAACTAATTATGTGTTTTTATGACTTGCAGAAACTTTCTACACCATTTTAATCATCAACTGCAAACTTTTGACATGTTATTTGCCCGTAAATTAAGAAAAGATTGGTCGAATAGTGACTTTATTTTAGATATACACTTGCATATAGTTCCTTTCTAAATCAAAATTTATGATGATTTACTATTTATCAATTAATTTGAAAAAGTATTTGTACATCAATTAAATCAGTTGATAAGAATTTTGAAAGTATTATATTAGTATCTTGTGTTTGTGTAAATTATTGTTCAATGAAATGTAGGTCTACATGTGTATTAATATATTTAAGTTGATTCCCACACTTTTTTGAAATGTTATTACTCCAATTCTTTCCATAGGCAAGGAAGAGTCAGAATGAGTAGTAACTATCATGATTTGCAAATAAGTATTAATTAGAAACAACCCCAGGCTTAATTCAAAACAGTTAAAATATCTCATGACCTGTTACATAATTAAATAGACACAATTTATTACACACCTAAATTAAATGAATACACACATTCTTGACGCCAATAGTAAACCTACAAATGTTTTTTTTTTTACCTACACTACATCGAAATATTCTGTTAATTTTGCTAGGTAGCTGAATGATTGATCTGATGTGGTTTTTTTTCAAAGAAAATACTTAAAATGAAAAAAATATGTATAAAAAATGCAAGCAAATTTTATTTTACTTGTAAAATCAGTGCAATTATCATCTGACATAAGTCAATAAATCAAGTTCTAATTAATTAGTTACAATTATCAGAAATTTGGTTGAAATATTAAACAAAATTGCATAACTCTTACCTGAGCATTTTCTGCAATAAAATTTATTGGTTTGTTTTACATTTATATCCCATTATATTGCTATTTAACAGTAATTGGAAATATATCAGCATTAGGTATTTGTACATTCAGATTTGAATACAGGAAATGTATATTTTTCTTAATGAAGAATGAATACCAATTTAGATAAACATTAGTTATTATTCTTTTTAATTTTTGTTGTTGAGAAAGTGCATTTATAAGGCCTCTTTCTGGAAATTATTAAATCTGTCATTATTAAAGGCATATAAAAAATATATTACTTGTTTGACGATTTTCCTTTCCATTCTTGTCAAAAATCAAATCTGACAGAGTCTAAAATTGAAAGATCAGTATATATATCTATATTTGCATCAATATTGCGAAATTCCCTACAATTGGACAATAACATAGAAATTTTACAGTAAGATTTGAAATGAAAAGAGAAAAAAATTAAGAAAAAAGTATGGTCAGAAAGAATATGAGACTAGCTATGAATATGGCTGGATCACAACATCAACGATGCTTTGATTAATAATGGAAATATCATCGCTGATGTGACTTATTATTTGGACCAATCAACATGTGATGAGAACTCTCGAAAACGTGACTTGATTAATTGACAAATCAAAAACACACATTGCGAACTCTCACAAACATGTTTTGATATTTAGACCAATCAACGCAACAGGATCTAAACCAAATCAAATAAGTTATTTATAGTTTTATAAGTTTTATAACACAAATATTTATATACACATATCGATTTCAACTTCAATGTCCCTTTTGTATCTTACGCCTCGTTTTAAGAATATTTTTTAAAGGATTTTCTACTTGTAAAAACAAACTTTTAATGAAAGTACTACCGAAAATGAAGTAGCCCGGCTGGCAGATGACCTAATAAATCCACTGGCCCATCGTGAAATTCTGTGGCCACGGGCCAGTGGGCGACCGCTTATTTCAAATCCTGAAATCAGTCACTTTGACCCCAATTTAAGTAAATCCATGAGATCGGTTCATAACTTTTGTACTGTATTTAGATAAACCAAACTTTGTATGCAGTTGCATCTTTGGCTCCGGGTGTGTCATTAAATTAAATAGCTTTTTGTACAGCATAGAAAATATAAGTTGCAAAACTATTATTGCATACCTGCCAACTTTTCAAAATCTTGATGGGGGATTTTAAGTGCAAGAGGACATGATACTCCTCTTTTAATGTCATAAGTGTTTTTTATCTTCTACTATATTGTTTGAATGAGTATGTATGTGCTGAATACCCTTTTAACTCATTTGAAAGCCTTTTTTTGAGGTGTTCAGTTTATATAATCAAGATTTTTAAAATTCAGGTTAACTCCTCTCATGGGGGAAATCCCCAATATATATCATGAAAGTTGGCAGGTCTGTTATTGGCACCTTATAATTGTATATTTGAATGCCAGTTTCTGTTCTTTGTGAAAAAGTTTTTAATGCTGATTGTTTTTTACCTGAAATGGGAAAAATCTTTACATTAATTGTATACACAGTTTAACAAAAATTCTTTAAAAATGATGTATTATAATTTCAGGCTAAAGAAAGGGAGCTTGAACTGAAAAATGCTTGGTCACAGAATGCCATGTCCAAAAGACAAACACAAGCAAAATATGGTTTCTGATAGTTTATGTTGATATAGAACAATTACCATATGTGTGTGTCAACTTAAATTATAACTGTGTACAAATTACAACATGTTGTAGACATAAACAATATAAGAATAAAGTTATGTCTCTTTGAAAAAAGATATTGTGACAAATTATCTGGACCCCTGAAGCAAAGATAAGGACAGTGATGTAATGTAACCATCCTGTCTTCCATTCATATGTGCATGTATCATTTAAACATGGTTCCTAGATCATCTCTTATTGCATCATTTTGTTGCACTACACAACATTATTTTACATTTCAAATTATATTAAATAGAGTAAGAAAATAAGAAGATGTAGTATGATTGCCAATGAGACAACTCTCCACCAGAGACCAAATGGCATATAAGTAAACAACTATAGGTCAAAGCTATTTCTACAAAACATCACAAAAGATTTTTTTGTTAAATTCGTAGGGGTGGGGGCATTAAGTTTTACCCTTATCCGTCTGTACGTACGTACGTCCCAAAATTGGTTTCCCTTATCTAACTTGAGTTTGCCTCAACCAAATGTTATGAAACTTATACACAATGCTTATTACCACAAAACACAGATCAAGTTTGAATTTTGGTGGCGTCACTTTAACCGTTCTAGAATCATGCCCCTTTATAAATGGAAAAATTGCAAAATTTTTAATTTCCGTTCTCTAACTTAAGTTTGCCTCAACCAAATGTTATGAAACTTACACAAAACACAGATCAAGTTTGAATTTTGGTGGTGTCACTTTAATCGTTCTAGAGTTATGCCCCTTTATAAATTTCAAAATTTAAAAATTTTTAGTTTCTGTCTCTAACTTAAGTTTGCCTCAACCAAATGTTATGAAACTTATACACAATGCTTATTACCACACAACACAGATCAAGTTTGAATTTTGGTGGCGTCACTTTAACCGTTCTAGAGTTATGCCCCTTTATAAATGGAAAAATTGCATAATTTTTATTTTCTTCTCAATATCAAGTCATTTTTAAAATTGGAGTTATCTTCCTTTGTCCATGATTATAGTTGAATCAACTACAATCAATGCTTTATACAATGCAATGTTTAATTTTGACTTCCACTGATAAAACACAGATCAAGTTGAATTTGGGTAGTGTCACTTTAACCATTATTGAGTTATGCCCCTTTATAATTCGAAAGATTGCAAAATTTTTAGTTTCCATTCTGTAACTTAAGTTTGCCCCAACCAAACATGAAACCTATACACAATATTCATTACCACAAAACTAAGATCAAGTACAAATTTTTTGTTTCCGTTTTCTAACTTTAGTTTGTGTACTCAACCAAATGTTATGAAACTTATTCACAATGCTTATTACTACATACTACAGATTAAGTACGAAATTTGGTGGTGACACTTTTACCATTCTTGAGTTATGTCCCTTTATAAACATAAAAATTACTTTAGTTTGTCTCAACCAAATAAAACTAATACACAACCGTTCAAGAGTTATGCGTGTTTACAAATAGAAAAATTGCTGAATTTTTAGTTTCTGTTCTCTACTTAAGTTATCCTCAACCAAATGTTATGAGACTTACACACAATGCTTATTACCACAAAACTCAGATCAAGTTCAAATTTGGGTAGCGTCACTTTTACCGTTCTTCATTTATGTCCCTTTATAACTATATGATATGCAAGCGGGGGCATCATCTGTGTCCACATGTGGACACTATTCACATTTATTCTCATTGTTGAAGGCTGTATTGTGGCCTACAATTGCTTTGTTTTAACTCTGATGGATAGTTATCTCATTGGCAATCATATCACATCTCCTTATGTTTATACTATAAACCTACTACAGGACAGTATATCATGGAGATGATAGTGCCCAAGACAGCTGAAATTGTCTGATATCTTTGATTAATAGTCATTCTATATAATTATAATATGAGAGTACCTTTCATAAGAAAATAAAATTAGGTTCCAAAACTAGCGTTAAACAAGTGAGAAATATGTACAAAGTCAGAGCTTCTGCATGAAGTTGTGGTCGCATCAACTTGAAACAAAGTACAAGCAAACTTTCCCCATTCCCCACATTCCCCATTTCCAATCTCAATTTTATCTTTCAGGTAAGTTTTTGTTCACTTCAAATTTTACAAAAAACTATGTTGGAAAAAAAGCAAAATGAAAGAAAGGGGGCAATCATATATCAAAATTTTAAAAAAAACACACAACACCATGACAAGAAGAAAAGATAAAAAGACAAAAATTCTACAAAGCACTACTAAACAAAATGATAGAGCTATATGAACCCCATCAAAAAGTAATTTTGAACAGATGTGTTCTTGAAGGATCTGCATTTTCTACTCCCCAAGTGGCACATGTCAACTAACAATTGGAAGGTAAGTCTGTTGATGTCATAAACAAGAACAGGAGGTTCTGGATGTGGCCATCTGTGACATGTATATTCTACTGCTTATTTGGTAAGCCTCTGACAAATCATGTGAAATTTTAAAATGTAGTAAAATACTACTCAACACAGATCCACTTTAAATTTGACCAATTTCACTTTTTTCTTTCAAGAGTTATTTCCCTTTATTAAGTGGAAAATAAAAAAAATTTGTGGTGTAAAAATCTAATGGGCTCTAGGTTGTTGAGTTGAGAAACATTGTTTCAACTGGATAACCTGGTTTCAAATGGGACTAACCAGATTAATCTGTGTAAGATTCATTTGAATTGTCTGTTTTAAACAAGTCAAAGGATGAAACTGTTATTTGTAAAAATTTTAATCAAAATATAAGACATTTCATTGGTCCTAAGTCTTCGAGGGTCATTCTTAATTACTGGATAACCTATTTTCATATGGAGAAGTATGAGATATGAAAATGTTGATCTTTCACTTTTTAATTGAAATATAAGAAAATGTCATCAGATTTTGAAAAGATAAAAGTTTAAACCAGGAAGCAGTTTATTTTTATACAATAACTGGCCAAAACCAGCACAGGCACTTGTTTCTGTCAATTGGGGTTTACTATCCACACTTGTAGAAAAAATCACTGATTTTTCGTACAAGTGTGGGTAGTCAATATTTTTGTCTCAACATAAAAAAATTAAGGTGGCTGGGGCGTCTTAATTAAATTTGATAGAATTTTTTGATAATTTGTGAAAATGAAGTTTTTATCATGCTTCTTTCAAAAATATAATAAAAAGTATGGGTCACCGAATTTTTTTTTACGCAAGAGGTTGTCCAAAATTGTCAGATTTTGTGTAGATTATGCATGGAAAATCAAATTTTGTGTGATAAAAAGAAAACTACTTGATAGAACTTTAAGATAAAATGTGAGAAGATAGCTGTTATAAGATGCTTTCAGATAAGAAAAAGAAAAAATAGGGTCACCAAACTTGTTTTCTTGTTACATATCAAAATAGGTAAATTCACAACACTTTCTATTATAAAAATTACTTTATCTGAGTTATCTCCCCTTATTTGGCAAAGTTGAAAAAAATCTAATCAAACACAAATAAGGTCTTTTTGAAAAATTACAGCCGTAATTATGATAAAACACACAATTTTCTATATTTACATCAAAAGCCTTTTACATAAATTACATACTACTCTCAAAATTTGCACATTTTATGAAATATCTAGACCAACGTTATCTGCTACTTCGAAATCCAAAATGGAGGAAGACACCCGAGCCACCTTAAGTCCTAATCCTTTTCTTCACAAATAACTGATTCTACTCGTGCCTTCACTACGTTGTCCAAGAGACACATTCTGTCTGTCTTACAGGATTCAAAGTGTTTCTTTATTCTAACAATATTGATTATCATGTTATATCATCATGTAATTACATTAACTATTATGCTGTTGAGTTGAAATGAGGAAAAAAGAGGAAGAATGGATGTTTCTTAAGAAAAAAATAAACTAATAGTGCTTAATTTTCTTTCATACATTTAGAAAATGTTAAGTCCAATTTTAAGGATTTTGAATTAGGAAGTCTGCAGATATATGATAAAATACAATAAGAAGTCAATATATTTCCCTAACAGTCATGTTTTTATAGGTGGAAGTGAAAATAAGGTTCCTTGAAAGTCTGTTAGTAGTTATTGAAAAGCACTTCTTAAACAGGTTAACTTGTCTTTTACAGACTTTGTTGACACCAAAGAAATGTGTAAATATCATTTACATTTCTTTTTTGACACCATTATACTTCTACAGAATATTTTTTTTAAGAGGGGAACGGACTATTGTTTTCAATTCTCACTATCAAGGATGTCGCTGTGTTAAGCACTTAATCTGCATACACTGAAATATAGTCACCAATGCTTCTAACGTCTATTTTAATATTGAACAATGAACTGTGATTGGTTATATCTTTAGAGCAGGTTATTTAAGTATGTTATTGTATGTCATTAGTTTCGCCAATTTCCAATGTTTGCTATAGGTCATTTTCATTAAGTAAAAGTACTGAAAAAATACCAGTATGATGAAAAAAAACAATTATTCAAAAAGGTGGTGTTTGATTGGAATCCCATCCACTCTAATGACAATCTTAATTGATTAAATTATAAAAATAAGAAGATGTGGTAAGATTGACAATGAGACAACACTCCACCAGAGACCAAATGACATAACAATGAGCAAAATCCTTTAAAACAGTATAGTAAGCTATAAAAGGCCCCGAAATGACAAATGTAAAACAATTCAAACGACAAAAGTAACAGTCTGGTTTATGTACAAAACAATGAATAAAAAACAAATATGATATATAGCAACAAACGACACCTTATAATTATCATTTTGACTTGCATTATTTATCAGACACTTTATAGCACAGTTTAATACACAATTCTTGACAGCCATTGTATGTTTTTTTTATATAAAGAAATGATTAATTTAACTATTTACATTGGTGTTTAATGGCACTGTTGGCTTTACAGTGGCGGAAGCCGGAGAGAACCACCGACCTTCGGTAGGAAGACTAACAATCCTAGCTATAGTCATTTAAGATTGGAGTTGAATGCTCTTGAACGTTCGGATTCGAACTCACAAACTCAGTGTTGACAGGGTAGTGATTCAGTAGTTGAACTACTCAGACCACTCGGTCACCGAAATCTCTATGTTACTGTTGATAGTTTGTAATGAATAAAA